CCTCCCTTATTGAGTAATACGAAATTGCAAGGCCGACTAGGGAAATCACGAACGATGGACCGCATCTCGGAGAGGGTCTTACAGTGTCGAGCTTATCCCGTGTTGAACGGGGGGCCGGGGGCCTTCTGGAAGACCGCCGTTCCAGAATGGTAGGGCGATGATTGTGATTCGGACTGGCGGTGGTGGAAGGGTAAATGGGTTGGATGAATTGGGCGATTGCTAGAGCATAGGTGTTTTAATTGTTGACGTTGGAGTCTTTCGTGGTATGTAGTTAATACGAATACTCTGAAGGCGATGATTGAAGAGTGGAATGTTCCTAAAGAAGTATCTATGGAACTGGACACATGGCCAAGCAGTCAGTCAGTCGGGTTCTCGGGACCCAAGGGGAAGAGGATCCACTATGGAGGCGAAAAGAAAAGAATTGAAAAAAAGAGTATTCAATGGACGAAGAGAGAGAGCCCTTGAAGAGAATCAAGAATATGTTTCTTCAAATCATGATCTCTCCCATCTTGAAAGCTATATTACCTATCATAATCATGTACGGTACTTTCTTAAACGGCCAACTCCCCCAGCCAAGGCGGACTAGTGTACTAGGGGCAAACCAGAGATGCAGCAGTGCAGCAACTCAGAGGGGAGGGGGGCAAAAAGGGAACAAGGCGCAAGCCCTAAGCAACCAGAAAAATCCCCGAGTGGTTGCACGGGGATGTGAGGCTGCAAACTGCTCGGAAGCGATGCGCTCGAAAGAGGCAACGCCCATCCAGCCAGGGTGGGACGAGGCGAACACGGGCACCCAGATCCCGGGATTTTTGGTGTATACTTGCATAGTGATACCTGCATGGCCATAGGAGAAGTCATACTGTAGATAGTTGATCATGGTTATGGAGTGATGAGGACAAACTAGGAACGGGAAATCGAAAGGGAAAGAGATAGAGAACCCCTCCTTTGTCGGGCCGGTCGCTAATCATGTATAACTAATGTTTATTAGGGATAGACTGGTTAGAGGCTCGAGGTATGATCCTTGTTTCTGCGAGTATCATAGGTTCAAGGTCGAGTGGCGATGAGATGGTAGCGTGTCGGTGTCTATAGTTCCGAATGATGATGATAACAGTAGTATTAGTAGTATCTAGAAGTAGAGAGTATACTATTGATGCTGTATAGAACCAAGGATACTATTAACTTTGTCTACATAATAATAATACTGTAATATTCTTTGTAAACCCCTCGTGATGGTCGGTGGAGCTGTTCTTGGCTCGGGACCAGCACGACAGCAAAAGCCGTTGAGCTGCGATCGGCCCCCGGCCAAGTGCTGACTTGCCTCTGCCACTTTCCTCTTGTCGGTCTAGTCTAGTATTTTATTTTTCTGTATTTAATCTGGTATCTTTAATAGTATTCCATTTCTTCCTTCTATCCTTCTATTTCCTCATACATTATGTATTTCCATCCCCCCCTCTTTTCTGTTTCTCTCCCTCACGGGGTCGTATCCTGGTTTAGTTTTAGTCGCAACGGCATAGCATTAGGGCGGGTTTAGCGTCCCCGGAGCAGCCCGTTACCAACGTTTTGAGTGGACTGGTCCGTGCTGGGTCTTTAAAGTGTCCGTAACTCCCGTTACGCATTTCTCTCATCTCATTTCAGGATGATGCGGGGCCCGCTGGAGGGGGGGGGGGGGGAGGGGGAACCATGTTCATCGGGTTTGGGGAGGGGCAGGGTTTGTTAGGCATTTAGGTAGGGCCTCTCTTTACCATTAGTGGTGTACTGTAGTCAATTTCCAAAAAGGCCCCTCTTTCCTGAACTTGGTTAGTCGATGCTTGTCGATAGGTCGAATTGTTGTTGTTTTTTTTTTGCTCCGTAAAGAGGTCTCTCTCGGTTTATGGGCTTAGGTTTGCTGTATACTCTTTCGGCTCCGTACTAGTAGTGCTATGGGATAGAACTACGGAGTAAATCCTCATTAAATGAGGATCTATCTCATCTCAAGATTAATCTCGGGGCCGTTCTTCTTCAGACGGAGTGCGACTCCACAACCCGTGTTGGGGAGTTAGGAGGGGGAAATGAAGGAGGAAGCAATCAAGCAATGACCACCACGGACGGGATTGCAATAGATGTGATTTAGTATAGAGTAGGATAGAGGAGATAGCGATGGATTTGTAGTAGAGGTAGATTATAGAGGATAGTACCTAGTATTGTGTAATAATGTATAGTATAGTATTATAAGAGGAGGGGAAGAGGCAACGCGGTTTGACCGCTTCGCGCCAGCATCTTTAATTAAAAGCGCCAGCCCTGAGTGGATCGGAGATATTACTATTCTTTAGGGCAGAGAGAGTAGTAGGCTAAGTAGGAGCAGGGATGGTCAGGGAAAGAGAGACTAACTCCATGAGAATAATATTTTTATTTTTAATATTTTTAATTTTAATTATCTCTGGGTACTTCCTGATGAAGAAATTAAAATTACTACGGGGTAATTCAACATACGCATGATTTCATGCTTTAATCCATTTAATTAAGTTGAATGAGGATGATTGCTCTCTTTACCCTGGAAACTCTCTCCGGAATTCTTGACTTTTTCTCTTTGATGCTCTTCTACTCGATCGCTTCTCTCTCTATCTACCCCCGATACGAATACTACCATCGCTAGGAATACTGAATTCGGAGTGACTAACTATAGTACTCCCAACACCTATCGTTGTACTTATTATCCTATATCCTTGAACCTTCCATCGACCTTATTTGGATCGGGCCCCAGAAGTGGATGGACTCCATCGTGGTCTAAGACTCTTGGTTCCCACTTTGCTTGTCAACGTCGATCGTTTGGGTTTCATCTTTGCGGTTCTGGGCCTTTGGAGTCGACTTTTGGTATCCCACTTTCCTCCTTCTACTTCTTCCCTTTCTCACCTCCTCGACCTTCTTACCCTGTTCATATCCTTGTTCATCTACGACCTTTCTATCTTTTTTTCCCACTCTTTTCCCCTACCTACTACTCCCCTCCTCCTCCCCTTCTCCCCCTCCTCAAACTATACTTTTTACCCTTTTTGGTCTTGACACCACCCATTTCCACGGTACTCCGTGCCTGTACCGCGCTTTCTGCCAGGCCTTCCTACTCTGACCTCACCATTCGTTGCACGAGACCAGCCCAGTCTCTTTGAGTTTTTACTGTGAAGAACCCCCCGAACACTTTGATCCGGCTTGTCTGATAGCTGCTGGTTGATCGGAGAGTTCATAAAAAGAAGAAGAGACAACGAAAAAGAAAAGAGGAAAGAAAAAAAGAAAAAAGGCAACGCTATACTGCTACTATCATAACCGACCTAGGTCATCCGGACTAAACTGTTGATTCTTGACTGTCGTCATTCAAGACACCTTGAGAGATCACAAGCTTTGGGTCGTCTACTATTGTCTGACTACTACTTCTACTACTCTCTTTCTCGTCTATTCTCTCCTCTCCTTTTCTTTCTCTCTTCTCCTCCCCTCCAGCTGGATCTTCTCGTTTCTGGAAGGGGGACCAACTCCTGTCTATCTACTTTCGATCCCGAAAAGACCCGCCAGTTTCCATCGCGCATATGATTGCGTTACAAAATCGGCCTATCTTGCCGCCCGCCAAAGTGGATATCTCACTACTACTCAAGCCCCAAGATGAGGAAGAAGCCCCCAGGAATCCACCTCCCGTCTATCCCCCTCGGACGGGCTTGGGCTTCTCCATCCCACCGCCAGTCCCCGCTGCGCCAATCTTGACGACGGGCCCGCCGGCCGTGGCTCCTCCATTGATCAAATCTGCTCCGGGTCTTCCTGCAAAGCGTCTACAACCTGCTCATACCGCCGAGTCTCCCGCTAAAAAGCAGTCCAAGTGGTCGCCCGAGGAGGATGCTCTTATCATCGAGCTGCGCGGCAGTGGGATGAAGTGGGAGGATATCAGCAAACGTTTGCCAGGTCGCAGTGCGATCAGTTGTCGTCTTCACTATCAGAATTACCTGGAACGTCGCAGCGAGTGGGATGAGGATAAGAAGAACAAGTTGGCTCGATTATATGAACGGTAAGCCATGACTATATCTCCGGGTTATTGCTGGGATATCACAAACCAGTCTAGTCGGACCGAGGGAAGTCATCGCCAAAACTAACAGCAACGAGTAGGTTCAAAGCAGAGATGTGGTCCAAGGTCGCCGAAGAAATGGCTATCCCATGGCGTGCTGCAGAAGCCATGCACTGGCAACTCGGAGAACAAGAGATGGCCCGCCGCGCAGGCGTGGTACCCTTCTCACTATCTAGCACCGCCATCGACCCACCCACCACTCGAACTCGTCGTGCCAGCACATCCCTCGCTCGTCCTCGAAAGAGCTCTACCTCACGCGCTATCCCCGGCCATTTACCGGGCCTTCCACCACAATTACCTTCCCTCGAAGAGTTGACGGCCGGTGTCCCCGCGTACGCACCACCTGCCCCGCCCCCACCACGCGAATTCTATGGCCTTGGACGACCTCCCGATATGGGAATTCCCCCGCCTGGTCTCATGGGTCCACATATGGGATTGCCTCCGCGAACTTTGCCCTAAGACGAGATGACGATCACGCCCCGTACGGCTTTGTTTTTGTTTTTCTTTTTCTGTTTTTCTTTGTCCCCTTTGATACGAATTGCATAGCGCCGGTTGGAGGTATACCGTGATTTGTTGGGAGGTCGTGAATCGTATAGAGAATTTGCGTTGTCCACCTCCCGTCCCACCTTTTCTGTTGCGAGATTTTCTTTTTTTCCCCTTTTCCTTTCTCCTTTTTCTTTGGGTAAAGGAGAGAATGTGGCAGAGAGGGACGAGATACTCTCTATTTGGTGTCCGTTGAAAGGGTTGGAAAGATATGGAGAGAACACAATCTCTTGTTTCGGCGCAACCATTCGACTCGACCTCTCTCCTTCTCTCCAACTTCCCAACGAAATCACGCATCCCTCACATTTTGCGCAGGTGATGATTAGGGAATCTTTCTTCGAGGCTGGCTCCCGAAGTGGAAAAACCATATCCCCCCATCTCATCATGAATCGTGCTTGGGCGTTGCAATCGCCCACCAATTATCTTTCTCATATCCGGACTCCACTACCACACCTCCAGCCTGCTCGATATCACGCTCCAACTCCCCGCTCTCATAAAGATGATAGTAGCGGTGGAACGTTTGATCCTCTTCTCCAGATCCGGGCTTCGCCCTGCGCACCCACGGCACCATGAGATCCTGCGAATCCCCCTTATCCCAGCCCCGGCGGCTATTCTTCTGCTCGAGTGCCCATGCATAAACCAGGATTCGCCCGCCCGGTTGCGTCTCTGATCCGCGCTTGATGGTTCGCAGGATCTCGGCGATAGCTTCGACCCGTCGTGCCGGGGTGGACATGTGGTGTACCACGGCGATGCAGACGGCAAAGTCGAAGAATGCATCCCGGTGTGGGAGATGGAGGATATCGGCTACCACTGCTGCGTGGGGCTGATGCTGGACTGCTATTTTGGCCAGGTTTTCGGATCTATGGTCCTCGTTAGCGCTATAGTCCAGGGTTTTGGAAGGTTTCTTTTCCATGAGAGGGTGTTTTGTGTGGAGATGAGAAAGATGAGGAAATGACAGTGATATGAAGTGAGAAATTTTACTATAAAAAAGACCAAAAAAAGACAAGATATAAGAACCACATATACGAATTTACGATATCTCCTCGTATGCTCCTTTGAAGTAGGGAAAAATAAAAAGTAACCCGTAGATACTGGCATATGTACGTACCGATCAGAGGCTACTATGAAGACATCCCGGTTCACCTGGAGATTCTTGCCATTGCCACAACCAACGTCAAGTCCAACGGATCCCGCTGGTAGACTCTGAAGGAATTGCTCAACAACTGGCCACGGCTAGACAAAACAAGAGATAATCATGAAACTCGTTAGCTGAGCTGCGCCAGAGGGATAGCGAATGAGTATCAAATCGAATCCACCGTTAAACTCACCTTGTACCGCGTAGCTGAAAAGTGTCCTGCAATCTGCTGGTACACCTCGTGCACATTCTGCTCCTCGTATGCCTCGGCATGATCTGTCATGGTACTGGCTTATCGTGGACAGTGTGTAATGGGTTCGAAATAGGGTCCTGGTATATGGAATTCACGAGTATCAGTCTGCTTCGTTCGGTGATGGGGGAAGGCAAGCGAGGGGATCACGTGGCTTCGGACATTTTTCTTGCCCCTCCGCGGGGATTGTATACTTGACGTACTGGAACTTCTAGGATATATTTCTTAAAGTATCTTTCTTTTTAAAAGATATAGAATCCTCTCTATAAATTCTAGTTCTATATTACTCTCGATTGATTCGGCTATACTAACTATACCCCCTCCTACATCCCCAATCCTCCCCCCCCCATCCCCGCCTTGTACGTAGTACCGATCAAATTAAGATCCCAAGAGATCCGAATTCTAGAAATTTCCTACAAATCACCTAGCCCAATCTCCAAGGATATCCCCAGTAGAATTAGCATTCCTTATACTCAATCTATTATTTGTCCAACCCTGCTGCAGTGTACCTACACTCTTCTTGGACTGTTTCCTTCTTTCCCTTTCGATGGATCCAACTGGGGATGACTAAGCGCACCTATTTTGGATGCCCAGCAGTGACTGTTCAGCAGCACATCGCTCGCTTCGCTGTGTCCGGGTAAGTTTGCGGCTGGTTTACTTGGAAATGGGATTTTTTCGGGATTGTGGGTGTTTTGGATGTGCTTCGAAGCTGGAGAGTATCATTCAGGCTTCCGTGGGGGCATAGGGGAAGTTTGATATCCCAATATCAAATGCTGGACTGATGCTCTCGAGCTTCAATCATGGCCTCAGATAGATCTCTCTTCCTGTTTCTTGCTCATACTGGCTTTCTTTCCACATCCCTGAACCCCCGCTAACAATTCACCCAGGACCATCTCTGGCGTTACAAACCCCAGTCTCCCCCCTGAGCGCACTACACATTGCCTCAGCATCATCACCCTCGCACATCTCAAATATGGCATTCCAACCTACCCCGACGGATGTTTCCGTCATCATCACCTCAACTGCTGCGGCACGCTCCGCCGATTCAGAGCCTAGATTCCTGACCGAGCGCCGGATCACGCCTACCTGGACGGTTGAGCAGGTCAAGAGCAAGCTCGAGACTATGACTGGTGTTCCGCCGGGTAGTCAGCGGCTTCGTGTGAAGGTTCCTGGGAGACCGGACCAGTGGGCTGATAATGATGCTCAGCTTATTGGGGATTATGGGATTGTGAAGGGGTCTGAGATTGAGGTAGGTTTTTGATTTGATTTTGATTTGATTTTTGGTTATTGGCTGTGAATTCTTTGAAAGAATGAATGGCTTTATATCAGTGCTGGAACTTGATCCTGTATGATTGCACTTTCTCGTGGACAGTGCGGTCTTATACATTGGGTCTCCAGACTGAAGGGACCACTTCGAGGCCATACCATTGACCTGGCTAGAGGAATCTACGCGCCTATAAAATCCATCTCTTCGGCTTATTCTAAGCTGAACCCTGCTAATTCCACCTCTAGGTCCACGACTCCCGCCCACCAGCCATGCGCCCAAACTTCACCGACCTCTCCTCAGTCGACAAGTACGAAATGAACCCAGAAACCTACGAATCCCTCTCCGACTCAGTCCTAGCCTGGAAACGAAACCAGAAGCTTGGTCGTTTCGATCCTAACGCTCTTTCCCCGGAGGAATCTCTACGCAAGCAAGTCGAGAAAGATCAGGCTGAGCTTGCTAGTCGAGGTATGACAGAGTCTATCATCACACTTCTAGCTGGTGATATAGTAGGTTTGACCTTTCCTAACGTTTCACTACAGGTATCGCCGTCGACAAACGGGCTATTATCCTCCCCTCATCTCCACCTCACATTCGCCGTGGAACAATCCGCTTCGTCGGCCCCGTGCCAACTATCCCGATTACCGGTCCTGGCCGTGAACTTGAGAAAGATGGTGAGCTTCCCGTTGAGTTGCAGCCCCTTTGGGTTGGTATCGAGTTGGATGAGCCGACGGGGAAGAATGATGGTAGCGTGGGTGGTCGTCGGTACTTTGAGTGTATGGAGAAGTGTGGTGCTTTTGTTAAGCCTGAGAAGGTTGAGGTGGGAGATTTCCCGCCGTTGGGTTTGGATGATGAGTTGGATGAGCTGATGGAAGAGATTTGAGGTGAGGGTGTGTGTTTGGAGGTGGCGTTGTGTTGGATAAATTTGGTAATTATTGAATTATCTCTTATACCCTACCTGTCCAGAAAAGCAGTATAATGGAGCTGCTATGAGGTAAACAGATGAGTAGAGAAGAGCACCAGACAAGGAACTCCCTAGCATCCATCTACTTGACAGCTACGCGCTATTTAATTTGTAAGGAGGAAAGAAGAAGACGGTGCATTCTGTCCATCACCAACTATCACAACCCAATTAAAATCTGCAACTCAAGAACACCAATAACCAGGGATCCATAGAAGAGAATACAACCCGCTAGAGCAAAAACAGAGATAGAAAGGATATCATAGCACATTCACCAGCTCCAGCTGGACACGAAAGTCAAAGCAACAGCAGAAAAGAACAATCAAAGCATTCATTTAGCCTTTTGCTTGCCCTTGGGGCGACCTCGAGCCTTTGGGGCTGGGGGCTCCGATGTGCCGCTCTCGGCTTCAAACTCGCTCTGCGTGGCAGTCTCAGATTGTACGGGCATTTCACTCCCCTCCGGAAGACAGCACTGGGTGAAGAAGAGTCGGGCATTCTTGTCATGCGAGTTCTGGAAGCTATAGTAGTTACCTGCCGAGAAAATGTCAGTGGAAGGAGAATAATTGATATGATCGTCAAAATGTACTTACCTCGTGGAATTTGGAACACGGATCCCTTGCCAGCACTGAATTGCACACCGCAAATGTCGACTTGTACTCGGCCATAGCAGACATAGAACACCATATGCATTCTCTTCGAATTCTTGGGCTTTTTGACACCATCTGGTGGAAGCTCAACGACACCGGAGCCAATGAATGAAGAGCTGAGCAGTTTTGCGAAGCGGAATGACGCGCCTTTGACTTCCCTTGTCTCGAAGCCAGATGGTGCGTATGCAATGTCTGCACGACTGAGTTAGTAACAAAGACAATAGTAAAAGCCGGACCTGAAAATCATACCTACTACTTCCTCCTCCGACGTGCTGGTCTGTGCCACAGGGTCCCATTTGGAAACGTAGCCATGTAGAACACCGGTTTCCTTCTCCCAAAGATCCGCATCGTCATCAATCTCGTCCTCGTCTGAAGACTCGTCCTTTTGCTTCTTTGACTTGCCCTTGCGGCCACGCTTGCCCTTCCTCGGCCTATCTGGTTCAAGCTCCTCGGTGCGGATAACCTCTTTGATCGTGGAGAGAGGGTATCGTTGGCCCTCGGCGGCCTCTCCGTCACCAAACACACACCGCTCGTTGCGCCAATATGCCAGAGGGCGTACAGAAACTCGTCCAGAGCGGGTGTGAGTCGTCTCGCTGCTGCTGGGGTCTTCGCGCTTGAGAATATATAGACTGCGACCCTTCAATGGGCCCGAACGCTGGGCATAGTTTTCGACAACTCGGTCCAGTTCCGGGTCCAAGGGCTCGCGCGGGGCTTGAGAGCTCTCGGCGGCAGTGGTCTTTGGCTTCTTAGTTGGTCTAGCTTCGGCGGGCTCCTCGTTCTCTTCAGCTTGCTGAGTCTTCGCAATGCGACGTCGTTTCCCGGTTGGTTTGGTAGCAGCCTTGGTCGCCTTTGTAGTCTTTGCTGCGGGTCCCTTTTTAGGCTGTTTTGAACTCGATACGGTCGTCTTTGTCTGTTGCGAGGCTGCGGGTGCCGGGGACACCTCGTCTTCTGGTTCACTCTGGTCTTGTGCCGTAGCATCCGCTGGTTCCTCCTCAAGCGGCATCACAGTTTCATCACCCTCGTCGTAGCCATCGCTGAAATCATCCTGCCCAGCAGCAAAGGCATCCTCATTCTCGTCGCCTTCACCCTCGCCGTCAGAAAAGTCCGCCGCTTCCGTGGCTACTAATCGTGATTTTCCCTTTTGTCGCGCAGTGCTCTTGTTGTTTGATACGCCTGCATTCACTGAGCGATTGGTCAAGGGAGTTGGGTCGCCTCGCGCAAAAGACAGACGTCTACCATCCGATGGGCTAGACGCTACGAGGTCTTCTCTATCGTCTGGTGAGGATCGCAAGACAGGAGATCGTCGAGAGAATTTTGCAGGGGATCGAGATGCTGGGGGTAGAAAAGCACCGCGCGCGTTATTCGAAGTGCTGAGAAAATCCATAGGTCCCGGCGCATTGCCTGATCACGTAGAAGATTGGATATGTCAGTTATCAATTGGTAAGAAGTCCGCGCGCATACTCCGTAGGGTAGCATACCATCTTCAATAGACATCTCAGAGCTGGCAGTGTCGTCGTCCGCAGGAGAGAATCCATTTAATTTCGCGGGTGATTTCTCAGGAGACGAGAATAGACCGTCTACTTCTTCCATTCCATACTCGTCGCGCTCCCTTTCCTCCATCGTGAGACCCGTCCGTCTAAGCGCATCAATTGCGTTAGAATATTGTAACTCTTTCAAGCAAGCGCCAACATCGCGACTTACCTTCCATGAGTTCCCACATTGGAGAAGTCGAGGTCGCGGGGCTTCGTGGAACCACGCGCCATGATGAACAGAAGGTAAGCGACCGAATTTTCACCAAATTAGAGGGTTCTGTATGGCTTGTTAAAGAGTAAAAAGTAGAAGAGCCGGTCAACGCAGCGCGGGTGGAGGAGGGGGAGGAAAGAGGAATGATGCGGTACTGCAGTGGAATTTGGGGAGAAACGCGCGCCCGCCGCTAAGCCCGAACGGTCGACGCGTCGGCATACTTTTGGGACGCTCTTGAACGTTGATTCCGCAGATTATTCTCTTGTTCCACAATTACACTCGTTTCAATTGTTACTCTTTCAATATGGGCAAGGATACCGCTGTCAATGCATCCGATGATGCCATGTCCTTTATTCCTCCCAGCATAGACACTGCCCGTCTACTCTCCGGAGACTCCTACGCATACTACACGCCCTGCCCGGCCGGAATTACACCTTACGACAAATCCACTACAGTTCCACAGACGACAGAGCCTACGCCATGTGTCCTTGGTGTTGACGAAGCTGGCCGTGGTCCAGTTCTGGGTCCAATGGTCTACGGCGCGTTCTATCTGCCTCTTGAGCTTCACCACTCCCTCCTAGCACAAGAGCACAGTTTCGACGACAGCAAGGTCCTCACGCCCGCCGTACGCGCCAATTTGATGCGTTTGATCAATACACCCGGCGAAAATCTATACGAGTCCTGCGGATATGCGATCAAGGTTTTGTCTGCGCGTGATATCGGTTCCGGCATGATGAAGCCAGGCGCTGCAGTCTACAACCTCAATGCGCAAGCCATGGACGCGACAATCGAGATCATTCGCGGAGTCCTGCAAGATCATGCTGTCAATGTACAGGAGATATATATCGACACAATTGGCAACCCCGCTACGTACCAAGCCAAACTCGAGCGCATTTTCCCATCCATTAAAATCACCGTGGCGAAGAAGGCAGATTCGTTGTATCCGTGTGTGAGTGCGGCTAGTGTGGCTGCTAAAGTGACGCGTGACGTCGCGTTGGAAGTCTTGTATGAGTCTGTTCTCAAGGCGCAACAGCTCGATGACAACTCCGCGGCCCCAGAGGGTTGGGGTAGTGGCTATCCTTCGGATTCCAAGTGTGTCGGCTGGCTCCGACGCAACATGGATCCTGTGTTTGGCTGGGGTAGTGAGTGTCGCTTCAGCTGGGGTACTGCGAAGGAGATGCTCGAGCAAAAGGGCGGAGCACGAGTTGATTGGCCTGCAGATGACGACGAGGGGAATGGCATGCTGAGTGATTTCCTCTTAGCGTCGGGGCCCGGGAAAGGCTCGAGCAAGGATGGATTACGGGATTGGTTTGGACAACGACAAGCAGAGATTATATGATGGGATGCATTGGGTTTGGCATGGGATTAAAGGCGTAATGAAGCTAATATATAACAATGATGATACCCTATCAGGCATATCCAAGGCAATACAATACAATCTTAACAAAGGAAAGGCGTCCAATTACGCAAGTGTCGTTGGAATCAAATCATGCAGTGGTGTAGTAAAAAGCTGGGTATCATGAGGAGAAGGTGAAGGGATAAGGAAATCACAGGGTAGCAGTCGAGAAGTAGTAGTTGTCCCAGAGGTATTCGTAGTCCTCGACAACACTGCCCACCAAGTCCAGGAGTGGCTTGCCCTTCATCTTGCCGGTCATGCTGTGCAACCATGATCTGTATATCGTTAGTTTTGTGACCAATAAGGGGTATCTCTTTGCTTGTTAATACGCACTTGGTGATGTTCTCGTAGAAGGCGCCTCGCAACAGCCACCAACCCATCGACCATCCACGCTTCCGGAGTTCCTCCCGCTCGAGTCCGGTCAGACCACGCAGGCCACCCGCAACTCGCTCCCGGAAATCGCGCTTCGCAAGCTGCCGGCACCCATATTCCATGCCGAATCCAATCAGCCATGGTCGCCAGCTGCGGCGATCTCCGCTCCATCGCTGCATAGCCAGTGCGTAAACGACTGGTCGCAGGATGTACAACACCTCTGCCAACTGTCCCTGCCCAGTGACACGGTGAAGCAACGCCTTCGGAGGCTTGATATCATCCGCAGTGAGAACCTTCGAGATAAGATAGTTCGACACGTCGTTCACATCCGGGAGAGATGGCAAGGACAGCCCTGTGCGGGGCATGGTCCAGCTAATGTCCGTAGAGCGCTCGCTCGTGGGAGTCTCCATGCCATTCCAGTCACTCTGGTCTTCCTCTCCCTGTGTCGACCGCGGGTCCACCTCTCGCTCCGGCAGGGGAGGACTGACCAACGGTCTAGAGTTGGTCAGTCGAAGCAAGAGCAGGCGACAGATTGCCTTGGCAAATTCAAGGAATACAACGACACGCCATTTAGTCTTCTGCCCGCGCCGCCGCGCCGTCATCTCCCAGAGTAGTTCTGTGTACTGGAGCATTTGCAGCGCGACGGCAACTCGATGGTATAGCGAGGAGCGCGTGGTCCAGTATTTCGTGTATCGGGCATGGGGGGTAGGCGGTGGTCGAGGGACTGTTGAAGGCAGTCGGGAAATGACTCGTGACACGAGAGAATCATGATATAGCGATAGAAGTTGGACTCCGGAGTGCACTACATGAACCGGTTAGATGTCAGACGCCCCGCATCGCCACAGGGGTATTAGGTATCTCCAAACTTACCACATTCTGAAGGGATTTCGGATTCGCGATATCTTCCTACACGAGGGGAGATGATATGTCAGGGATCAACTACTTGTAAACTAACACCAAGCCTATCTTACCTGGGATGATGTAGGTCAATGACCTCAGCGCCGACTCGACCGAGCCAACTGAACTGGAGTTCTTTGCGACAAAGTCCTCATAGAGTGACAGCCATTTAGATGGCTGGAGCACCACCGGAGGGATGGGATTCTGGATGTTGCGAACAGTCTCCATGATCCTGCACGATGCGACCGATCAATGCGGAGAGTTCGCGAAGTCCGGGGGAGAGGTTGGCGGCAGTAAGGGAGGTCACGGGGCACTGCCAAGCCCCTGGGGCCGAGGTTGATGCTTGCGGCTGGCGGAGGACTCCGTACATATTGGACATAGGAAATGTATTGACATTAATACTATGTACAGGGTTCAAGGTTGGTGTACTGATAAGATGCTTTTACAAAGTACTCTGCGTTTCTTGTCCACCATGCATCCTGTACGTATTAGCTCATCATTGTATAGTTCTTTCAAAACAGTAATCTTTTTCATGTGCTTCACAATTCTATTCAAATTCGTTCATATCCTCTTACTATACAATTCATACCAATCACTCATCAGCCCAGGTCCAGAGCCCTCCAGGTCGCATTGCCTCTCGGTACCGCTCTTCGACCTTCTCTCGCTCTAATTTCCGAGCAGCTTCTCGGTCTGCCTCGATCTCCTGGGTAGAAGGCATCTCAGTTCGCCAGAATCCTGGGGGACTCCTAGCTCTTTGGTGAGTATGCCGATGCCTTCCATACTGGTTGGCAAGGGCTCGTGCCCGAGCCTCAACAAGTAGATTCTCGCGATCCTTGTCACTCATCCCCTCGAGTAAATGCCGGTCCTCGCCTACGTACTCTTCGAGAATCCGCTGATCCTCCTCCTGCTGTTCTGCGGAGGCATTTGTGCCCTGGACTCCCATGCGAGCCATTGCACGGAACCGGTCTCCACAGCAGCCAGGACGGGTACAGCCTGACATGCACTTTCGGTCATCCTTCTTACGGACGACTGTATCGTAGGCATAATCGAGGCCTTGGTTCCTGGCTGGATTGATTTTGAAATGGCCTAGATTCAGGCGATGCAGAGGTCGGGATCGGTATGGTTCTTCATCCGGCTGTACCTCCGGACCCATTTGAGAAGGTTGGTCGACTGGTTCTGAGTGCAGATACGGAGATGCAGACTTCGTAGTCCTACTCTTTTGACGGGTATTGGAAGTTCCACCGCTCTGGATGCGGCCTGAAACCTCTCGGGGAGAACGAAGGGGCGATTTAGAAGGCAATGCCCCTTCTAGAAGGCCCTGCAGGCGATCTCGAGTGATTACTCCATCCGCTTTGGCCCTGGGTGTCTCGTGCTGGATGACCGCCGCGCTCCTTGCGCGCTTCTTTTGAGAGCGATCCTGGTCATCACCCCGTTCTCCATCCTCTGCCATGAGAAGAGCCCGTACGCTTGAATCTCCCCGTTTTTTCAATTCGGGTCCCTTCCCCCAGCATCTAGGTGATCGAATATTACCATCAACTGATTGCAGTACAGTATGATGTTGGGGTTCGCGATCTGGAATAACATTCTGTGTGTTGGAAGTTGATGCTTCCCCTTCATCTTCCCAATGAACCTCTCGGTGAGCATGTCGCTTCGTGGGTGTCGGCACGGTACCACCAATTTCATCTAGATCTTGGGTGCTCGGGAAATGCCCACCGAAGCCAAGAGTTGCTGCTTGGTGCATTGGACTTGATGACATCGTCTCGGCCTTGACAAGTACAGGCCGTTCAGGGGCGCCTTGCCTAGGCTCTGCTTGAGCGGATGGAAGGACCCTCTTCCTCTTTTTCGTCTCTATATTGGGCAGAGGATAGAGTACGTCTGAACCGGATTCCGACGAGAGAATATCACCACTAGCAGAGGTATTTTGCGTAGCTGTCGCCACAGGTTGAGTAGGAGCAGTTATCTGTTGGCTGCTTTCTTCGATTTTGATGCGCGGGTTTGCATCCGTCCGATTTGGCAAGTTCCGAGGAGGCGTGCCATTGTTGGAGACAAGTCCTGAGACTTGAGCTACGGAGGGTATTTGGGTCCTGATATTTGGAGTTTGTGACTTCCGGTGGTTTCTCACAGTCGCATCTGTGTCAAGCACCCTCTGGAATGTGACTGGACCTTTGTCCAGTAGGATCGTGAATGAATCCTTGTTCAATTGTTTATCCCAAAGCTGAAGCTTCTTTTTATGCTGAAGTAGCTTTGATTTGAGACCGCTCCAGCTCCGGCTAAATGCTTGCAGATCGGTATAGAGTGTCGTGTATTTGTCTTTGAGGATGTCATGTAGCTGGTCTGCCTCCAATAGATCGGTCCTCCAAATGTTCTTGGGTGCGAATTCTCTTTCGAGGTTGCTTGTTTCGATGGGCGATTCAAGCTCCTTCGGATCGGCGTTGTGGGTGATCAGCTCATTCCGCAGTGCGGTTACTTCACGCTGAAGCTCTTCGACCCTTTGCTCGGCAGCCCGCTGAGCCTCGAGGGCAATTGATGCGTTCGCCTCGGCTTCCTTGACCCGAGCCTCCCGAGCAGCAAGTTGAGACTGGAGTTCTTGTTGAGCATTCCTAATGGACACCTCGCACGCCTCTACAATAGAGGTATGCAGGTCCTTTAGAATCTCCATCGGGGTTCGTGGGGAAGCACCTTCGCCAAAAGATCCGTGAAACGCGACTTGATCGCCAGCACGCGTCAGAGGGGCAGTACATACACCGCTTTTCCAGACCGCCCTTTCACCCACAGCTTATCGGCTGCCGATAAGGGGCCTTCTGACGAAGCATCAGCAGCTTTCCATCATTGTGTATTTGCCTCACAGCCACCGCAGGTCATGTCCACTTGATGCGATTAGAGGCTTTTCAGCAGCATGTCCAAGCGCCGGAGAGATGATGTACAGCTGGATCTTCCCCCTACCAAGAGATATCGTGATGCTGTAACCTCCCCGCTCGATCGGTTATCCTCCCTAAGCGATGAACTACTGCTCCATATCCTGTCGTTTCTCCCAATCTCGTCATTGAATGTGTGCCAAAGGTATGATATTAATATCTGAATCTATGTCTCCACTCTTTGTACTAATTTCCGAATCTAGATTGTCTCGTCGGTTCCACACTCTTGCTGGCGATTCTGAATTGTGGAAAAGACAGTACTATTCACAGTGGGTTCGCCCTCGAGCTCGTCGCTTAGCGAATGTGACTCGGTCATCACTACCGCCGAAAGTAGAGTACTCGCCAAAGGTCTCGACATGGCTTGATCACAGCCATCTAGCTGAGGAGGGGAAGGCCACTAATTGGAAAGGACAATATCGGCTTCGTCACAATTGGTCCACGGGAGTCTGTCGAGTGACTGAAGTCGAATTTCCTCATCCACCTGCCCCTCCCGTACTGGTCAAGCTTTGTGCGGGAGTTGTCTTTACGGCGGACACGGCACATGGCCTTCGAGCATGGTATGCAAAGGATCCCGCATACTGCCTGGCAAAGGTCCCCTTTCCAAAACAGCCAGATGGGGAGGCTACTGTTTGTCCAACCGCATTAGCGGTGAGCCAGCTAGACGGCGAACAGGAAATTGTGGTTGGGTTTGATGACGGTCACTTCAATCGTTATGTCTTCGACATCGAAACGTCCCGATTACGCCTTCGGTCTGATCACATCGGATTCAAGGATGGCGCCATCACCGCCATAGCTTTATCCTCACCATATCTCTTGATTGTCTCCCAACACAAGAGCCTCTCGTTGTACAATCTCCGGGTCTCGTCCCACGTTTCCGAAAAGACTGGCGAGGCTACAAAACTGCGGAAGTTGGCTTCGCTCGACGCAGCTAACATGGTGGCACCAATGACCCTTTCCCTCCGCACATCTGGCTTGGAAATTGTCGCTACGATTGTCTACAGTTTCTTCCACATTGGCTGTGGTTGGTCCTTAGGCATTCAAGAACTGCGGTTCAACCAAAATGGTCAGCAGTTGGAATCCCGACTTGCTAGTACGGTCGATTCCCAGTACGGTGCCATGCAATCACGAGGCCGGACAGCCTCACGCATTCGACGACATTCAATGGGGGCTGACCCGAGCGATGGAAATATTGCGGCAGCCCCCGTAGCACCTTCAATTGTGCATCCGCGCCCACCGACCTCCATGTCCTACTCTCATCCCTATCTACTGACCTCGCATGCGGACAACACCTTGACCATGTACCTGGTGGTGTCAGACCATCACCGTCTCTTCGTTCGTGGCGGTCAGCGGCTTTGGGGACATACATCTTCGGTATCCGCTGTACAAGTGACCAACCGAGGGAAAGCGGTCTCTGTGAGTTCCCGTGGCGATGAGATTCGTATTTGGGAGCTCGAGCCAGCGGTGCGCTCCCTCGGCAGCCGGCAACTATTGCAAGAGGAAAACAGCATCCAAGTCAACCCCGAGAACAAAGATCGCGATGAATCAGAATTGGACTCTGCGCCTCGTAGTCTTCGGGGGGATCTGAGCGATTCGGGGCTTGACACTGGTACGCCCGACGAGGTGTCCGTTATGCATGGATGTGTTGGATTTGATGACGAGCGAGTACTGTTGCTCCGTGAGAAGACTGTTGGCACGCAGCTATTGGAATGCTACGATTTCACGTAGCTCTAATGGAAAAGCCCTCTTGGATGTAGTTTAGAGGCTTTTGGCGGGGGCAACCCCAATGAATTTGCACGATGGATCGACGATCCCGATCGATTCCCAAAGATGGGCAAGTCGCTCGACCATTGGATCCAAAATCACGGCATCCTGGCTGGTTGGGGGGGGGGCGCTAACGCAGGGGCAAAGATCCGGTCGCGCAAGCCCCGTAGCACAAGGTACTTGCCCCGCGAGCAGTTGGGGACCCTGGCGGGTACTCTTGCGCAGCTATAAATTGCCCAACCCCCGATCTTTTTTTTTCTGTTGTCGCCAGGCTGTGATCTAGAAGCCCCTGACTTCAGGCCCTTTTGGAACACCATTCAACCTTGCAGGGGTGGCTTGGCAGCTCACTGCGGTCCATGTTGATTACGAGCATGACGACCTCTTCTTCCACACAACGGGGTCAAATGGAATGGTATTGCAGCTCAACTCGAAATCCCTATTGAGGATCAATAACCACAAGAGCTGGTATATCGGGTTCAATGAACCTGCAGCTTGAGCATCCCACGTCCAAGTTGGCCGAGTCGGCTGAGAAGCTTCGTTCCAGTGGACAAGCTGCGGGCAGGGGCGATTGTTGGAATCATGACTTTCTGGCTGATCCCCGACTGGGAGTCATATCAGATGATGGATATGGAGGAGATGTTATTGGCGTGCTGAATTGATGTATTGTTGAAGTATGGGAGCTTAGTCTTCCACATGTATGATGAGAGGTGCAGAATGCAGAGTGAAACATGCCCATTGACCAAGGCGCATACCCTTTTTCCAGGACTCATATCCTGAAGAGGCGGTTCATGATCTCGAACAAGATCTCAAACCAGTCTCAAACCAGTCTCACAGAGTGAGGGTGGTGGTTGACGTGAGGAATGTTTGTTGGGGGGGATATAACCAACTGGCGAAACTCTGGAAGTTGCCTGACTTCTGAGGGAGAAATCTTCCCGCCCTTCCCCCCCCGCACTACAAATTTCCTCGCCTGTTCAATCCCGCTTCCGACCAAAAAAAAACCTCCCCTCACCCCCTCCCTCTTCATCCAACTATTTTCAATCTCCCTTTCTTCGTTCCCGACGACCTATATACCCCCATCTAGCCAAAATGGATCCCCGTTCTCGTGCTTGCTACAACTGTACGTTCTTCGTCCCTCGAGCCTTTGCTCAAACTCGCCTATGACACGCACACTGGTTCGCGGTTCAAGGGACGGTCTTTCTGATCGCTCTCGAGGCCGTGGACACCGGTCCCTGCAGTGAACTGCGTTTTTGATCTCCCTTTGTATAATCGCACTGCGCTATGCATTTTTGCGGGCTACGTGCTTTTATATTCCCCCCACTATCATTCATTGGCCGCGATTTCCTCGTGGCGCCTGGGTTTCTTTTTTTGACTGACATTTTTTTCTTCTCCGTTAGGCGGTGACGCCTCCCACCAGGTAAAGATGCCGTGTCCTCTTCACTTGGATTGGATCTCCAGAGAGCAGAGAGCTCGTTGAGAGCGCTCTGGATCTTTGGAAGAATCTTTTTTCTATCCTTTTCTTCCTTTTTTTGGAAAAAGAAAATAAACTCGGGAACTTACACGATGTGATGTTTAGGCCAAGGACTGCCCCAAGAAGGGAACCCCCACTTGGTAAGTCCCTGATTTTTTTTATCATTCCCCGCCAACATCATTGATTGAATCGCCGACTAATCTATGTTCTCCAATAGCTACAACTGCGGTGGTGAGGGCCACGTCAGTAAGTAACATCGCAAACGACCTCTAATCGCCTTTTCGCGCGTCATCGACAAATTGCCAAACTAACCTCTCCACCTCCTCCAGACCGCGAGTGCCCCGAGCCTCCCAAGGAGCGCACCTGCTACCGCTGCGGCCAGACCGGTCACCTGTCTCGCGAGTGCCCCCAGGGCGGCGGTGCCAGCTACGGCGGTGCTTCCGGTGGTGGCCAGGAGTGCTACAAGTGCGGCCAGGTCGGCCACATCGCCCGCAACTGCTCCCAGGGTGGTGGTAACTACGGTGGTGGCTACTCCTCCTACGGCTCCGGCCGTCCCCAGACCTGCTACTCCTGCGGTGGCTTCGGCCACATGGCCCGTGACTGCACCCAGGGTCAGAAGTGCTACAACTGTCAGTACCCTCTGCGTCCTTCAATACTCCCTTGCTCTCTGTCTGAACACTGGCTAACCCATTCTTCTCGAACAGGCGGCGAGGTCGGCCACGTCTCCCGCGACTGCAGCACCGAGGCTCGTGGTGAGCGTGTCTGCTACAAGTGCAAGCAGCCCGGCCACGTCCAGGCCGCTTGCCCCAACTAAAAAACTCGAAATGTCTTTGCTGGAACCTGCAACGTCTTTTTTTCTTCTCTCGTCCTGTCCTCCTCGGGATCTAGGAGTGCCGGAACCAAAAAACGAATGATTTCCTCTCCCTATTATCTTTTCTCCTACTCCCCCCCCCTTTTTTCTGCATGCGCCACGATTTGAGATGTCTATTTCCCCTCGGGTTTTTTTGACTTTGTATTATCACTCACGGCTTGAATCACGACCATGGGTCTTTCTTTTTTCCTTTGCATTTCTGGGGGCTTGAATTACTTCCCTGTGCCTCTTTTCTTTTTCTTCTCCTATCTTGTCCTAAATTGAGATTCCGATCTTGATTTGCGAAAGTGTTGCTTTCTTACTTTTCTGTGTCTACCGGGCTTTCCTCGCGTGGAAAAGTGAAGAGGTTGGAAGGGGCTGCAGTGGGTCATTTGGTCTTGCAAATAAAATTGGGTATGCATGGAATTTTGATCTTCTTTGGGCGCGTTACGGGAGATACTGAGGTGCATGGGGAAAATGCATGGCTACGACTCTCGATGATGCTCCTATTTGTAGGATTGTAGTATGTAGTCACTGATGTGTGGTGTCTTTGTAGTATGTACATGATATTCAATCTTTTAGACTAGTTACAACAAGACGAGAGGGGTAGGGTGTGATCCTCAAGAACTGCAGCTACACATCATGGCACGCTTGTACTTGGGTACATCACCGCAGAATCGCTCTTCCTCTGCCTTGTGCAGTCCCCATTCTTCATTGAATGGGTTCAGACTCATCTGCATCACTCGTCCCAGGATATCCCGGTCACCCTTCTTCTCAACCCTCTCAATCACTTCGTCCAGAATCCAGCCTCTAGGCACGAACTATAATTCGAAGAGATAAGTTAGCATATTCATGAAATATGGGATCATATTCTCCAAGGGGGAACTCACGTTAGGATTGACAGCCTTCATAGCAACCTGTCTCTCACTATCAGCATCACTCCCCCAATCCTCAAGCACACGAGTCCGCCAACTATCCAGCCACTTAGCAATTCGAGCTCGGGCCGATTCCTCGGTATACCCAATCCCCCCGGATCCCTCGGCATGGAAGAACACCGATGCGACAGCAACCCGCTTCTCCTCAGTCTCCAGCTCGGAAAGTGTCAGCCCAGACAGTCGGCGGAAGAAATGATTGAAATCTAACTCCAGCGCTTCAAGCGTATCCAACATCTCGGAGAAGAGTTTCTGGAAATCAGACTCCTGTTGCGTCTTCAGTCCCAGACGCTGGCACATTAACCGCTTGTACTCGTTCAGGAAGACGGTTTTGAATTCTTCGCCCGTTCGTTCGATGATTGTTTCCGCGCGCTTGATTAGTTCCGCTTCCATTTCTTCGCTGACACCGTCTTTGATGAAGGTTGCGTCGTCGACTTTGTTGCCTGCGCCTAAGAGTTCGCCGAGTGACTCGCCTAGTCGCACGAGATTCCACCAGATGATGCTGGGCTGGTTCTTGTATGAGTAGCGTAACATGTGGTCATCGTGGTTGGGTGTGTACTGGGGGTCGAAATTGTCCATAAACGCAAATGGACCGTAGTCCATAGATAACCCGAAAATAGAGGTATTATCTGTATTGAGGACGCCGTTCATAAACCCGTACGCCTGCCATGCAGCAACGGTCTTTGCATTCCGCCGCACAATCTCCCGATACAGTCGTGCAAACCGGTTCTCGTCGACACCTTGTTGGGTCTGGATCTCGTCGCGGCTAATCCCGCGGGGTGGGTCGTCCATCTCGGCGGCGGTTTGGCCTTCGCCGACCGAGATTGCGGCGGGGAGGGTTTCCCATCCGCCAAAGACATCTTCGGCGATGTAGGTGGAGAGTTGGCGGATTAGGTCTCGTTCACCGCGGACGCGGAGGAGATCGAAGGTGCCGATTCGTAGCCAACTCTCGGCAAATCGGGCGACGATTGCGCCGGGTTCGATGCGCTCGCGGAGGACCTGTGATTTTGGTAGGAGAGTGAGGGATAGTGCGCGGGTAGTGGGCACACCCAAGGCGTTGAGAGCTAGATGGATTTAGTAGGTGCATCATGCTGTATTGGAGGGGTACACTAATGGACTGTGGTTGAAACATACCCTCGGAGACGATGTATTCTCGGATGCTGGAGCGCAGAACTGCCTTGCCATCGGCGAATCGTGAATAAGGCGTCTTTCCGGCGCCCTTCAATTGAAGCTCATATCGCTTCTTAGTCTCGGGGTTGGTGGTTTCGAAGAGACTGATTGCTCGCTATGAATCAATTAGCCCTTTTTCGCGGGGTTTGGTGCGCTTTGGTCCAAAGAGATAGCTTACACCGTCTCCCAATTGCCCCGCCCATGAGCCACTGGTAGCTGTTAGTTTCCTTCCACTGAGTCATTGGGAGATAAGACAGAATCCGGGTGACCTCTTACAATTGCCATCCTATCCATAGATGATAAGTTAGTTGTCAATGTTCAGTGTTCTTTGTTCTTTTGTAGTTGCAGGATTAGAACTGAAAACGAACCACCATAGCACTGCGCCCACGGGTAAACACCCCCCTTCTCTTCGGACCAGGCGAATTCATTCCCCGCAACCAACGCCTGAAAAGACGGGGTCTGCTCCTCCCCAGGCTTGAGGCCCAGATCAGCCATCGCCCTCGGACTCACTCCGAGCAACTCCGGCTCCTCGACGAGTTCCGGCCGGACATAGGTAAACAGAGCGCCCTTCACCATGCGGGGGCCCAGGGTCTGGCGCGGGGCTTTGTGAGAGGCCTCGGGGGTCTCGAATGCCGGGTCTGCCGGCAGTTTGGAGGTGAAGACGTTAGATTTCGGCAAGTCTGCTAGGGACATTGTCCCGGCCGGAATAGTGCTATTGTTGCTGGTGGTGGAGAGATGGGAAGCCATTTGGCCTAGGCGGATCCGAGTCGAATGGAGTGATGATGGTGCGGATGTCATGTACAGAGATCGTCCGCAGGCACGAAGCATACGAGCCGGGATTGCAGGCATAGAGAGTTCTCAGGTGTAGAATCTAGTATAATTAGATACTTGGGAGTGAATCTGATAAACTGCCGCGTCAAGAGCGGATGACATCATGTGAATTATTAATCGCGACTCGTCTGGCCCGCGGAAGAGTTCTGCGCCGAACAGAAGACTCTTTGTTGAGTTGGGATTCCGATCATATACTTATGTCAGTGTGAGGGGTAAACTTTCGGTAATTCTAGCTAGTTTGGGAGTTTGTAGTTCTCCGCTAGTATATACTATTAATTCATATTCTTGCTTGCAACCTGGTTATACGGTTAATCGTTGGATTTCTCCTCTTTTCTGGCGGAAATGACCCGCTTCCGGGTGGGCTCAACTGGACGTGGGAAAGTCGATCGGTAAATGATTTATTTGGAGAGTTTAATTCGTGATTCAAGCTAATTGGAATGCTTAAGTATGTCCCACTTCCCCATTTACCAGCTCTCGATTCTGTAACTCCTCCATAATCACTTTGTATATAACCATGGCTACCTCACAGTCTATCCCTTCTACCAAGCTCAACGATGGCTCCTCCATTCCCGTGGTAAGTATTAACTTCACACTTCACATCTTCTATGGCCCTCCATTTGATTTCCTAAACCATTAGCTCTCTATCTTTCTGTGTGAATCTACTAACGTCAACCCCTCTACCCCCACCAGATCGGCTATGGTACCGGCACGGCATGGTTCAAAAAGACCGACTCTGATCTCAACCGCGAGCTGGTTGACTCGGCCAAGAGTGCCGTGAAGCTGGGATATTATCACCTCGACGGTGCCGAAGTCTACCGTACTGAGGAAGAACTCGGCCAGGCCATTGCGGAATGCGACCTCCCACGCGACCAGCTGTTCGTCACTACCAAAGTGAACCAGAACATGGCAGATATTCCCGCCGCTTTGGATGCTAGTCTAAAGAAGCTCCAGCTGGATTATGTTGATTTGTATGTCTTTTGTCTGCAGCAATGCATTGCACCTTGGACCTGTTAACTGACGTGCCGGGTTCTGTATCAAGGTACCTTGTCCACCAACCCTTCTTTGCTCAGACCAAGGAGGAATTGCAAGCTGCCTGGGCTGCCATGGAACAGGTCAAGGCCTCGGGTAAGGCCCGGTCCATTGGCGTCTCCAATTTCCTGCAGAGCCACCTCGAGACGGTCCTGGAAACCGCCAAGGTCATTCCAACCGTGAACCAGATCGAATACCACCCCTACCTTCAGCACGGCAACCTGGTGCCCTGGCAGGCAAGCAAGGGTATCAAGACCGTCAGCTATGGCGGTCTTACGCCAGCTACTCGTGCCGCCGGTGGCCCACTGGATTCACTGCTGGAGGGTCTGGCTACCAAGTATGCCGTGAACCCGTCCGAGATCTTGCTCCGCTGGTGCTTGGATCAGGATGTGATTTCTATCACTACCAGTAGCAAGGAAACTCGTTTGGCTAGTTACTTGCGGGTGTTGACCTTTAAGTTGACCCCTCAAGAGGTCAAGGAGATTTCGGAGTTGGGGCAGCAGCACCATTATCGGGCTTTCTGGCGGGAGAAGTTTGCTGATGACGATCGGTCATAGAGGGAAGGGGACCGTTTGATATATATAGCATTTTATAAAGTAGATATGTAGATCATCTACAGAGTATACAACGGGGGTTGATATAGTGACCGAGGATCAATAAAAAGAGTGACTGTTAGAGCTAGACTTCTGCAATATTTGGAATAAGCTCTCGGCAGTGAAATAGTAGAGACTTTATAGGTCCATTTCGAGACTGTAACTATAATAGATGTGGTCATATGCCCAAACAATTCCATAGTGATGCAGTTGTGATTTCAATCATCACAAAGCAGAGGGCGTTTGCTGCATAGCCATGGGTAAACTGGAGTCAAGGAGAATATTATTCAATATTTATGATTGTAGTATAAAGGAGTATTACTGTTGCAGTAATAGTAGTAAATCAAGTGTCAAATGTTAGTGTCCCTGCTAAAAGCGGCGAGGCGGGCAGGAGAGCTGAGACTGGGAACTTTCTTTGAGACTCTTCAAGTCCTGAACTCCCAAACCTTTTCCTTTCCTCGGCCCCTTTCAACCTGCTTGTCTTGAACACTCTCTACTCCCCCAACTCTTCCAACCTATCACTTTTAAGGTACCAACTACCCTTTACGATGCCTTAGAGGCTCCTCTGGCGGTGCTCGTTGACCCGCTCTCCCTGTCTCCGACCCTCTCTCTCGCACGCGCGCCCTCGCCTCGATGTGTTTGGACCCGCACCCGATTCCTCCTCTCACCTCCGGCGCATACTTCCAGCGTCCACCACAGCTCGAGCATTCAACGCCCTCGACTCCTTCGATTTATTCCGCACGACCTTAATCCCTCTTCTCTGGCTCGTGCGCGCGCATTCTGATCCATGGTTCACGAATCCCTTCACATCCCCCGCGGACTGCGATGTCGGTGAACGATCAGCCCCCTCCGCGGATACCTCACTCTCCCAGCTCGCGAGCCAGCCTTATACCTCCGACCTGGAGATACTTGACCGCCGATTGAAACGACTCTCCGACGACGTGCTCCCCCTCCATCCCTACCTCCTCACCCTCCCAACGAATGCGCCGTTCCGTCTCGGGTCTCGCTCCGCCAACAGCAATTGGGCCGTGGGACATGACCGTCCCTTTAGCCACGACGAGCAGCAACTTCAGTATATGACCTTTCTGACACACCACGACACCGATTCCTTACTGGCTGCCGTGGGCGATTGGTCCGACGAGTCGGGTCGCATGATGCTAGATCAACCTTCGGGTCCGAGGACAACCACCGAGCAGCAACCCCGAGAAACCGTGGCGAAGAAGAAGATCAGCTTGAACGACTATAAGAACCAGAAGACAACCGGGGCTGCCCCTTCCCCATCGCCTGCAATTCATGACCAGAAAGGCCGGGACCGTTCCAACTCGGACCGGCGCGACAACACACCGCGCGCTCCCAACCCCAACCCCGTTAAGAAACACGAGAAGCAGGGAAAGCCCGAATTGCAGCATCGAAATACCCCGAAACCACTCCCAGACCTTTCTCCTTCCAAAACGGCCAAGAAGCGACCCCCAACGACGGATACCGAGCAAGGGAGTTCCCACGCGACAAAGCATTCCAATATGCATTCCTCCAAGAGGCCACGGTTATCACCCGAAAAGGAATCGCGCAAAGAAATCACACCTGCCAAATCACTCCCAATTCTCCTCTCTCCAACCCTTCCTCCTTCGCCGGGTCCAGACCGGGCCCCGGGACCCAGACTGCCGCGGTTATTGTCTCCGACCCTCCCCCCAGAGATTGAAAAGGAACTGGCACAGCTCAAGGAAAGCTCGCCGGGCCAAAGCTCTCCCAGGCGTGACAATGCAACAGCAAAGCCGAGGCGAGACGATATAGGTCACTCTCGAACTCCTACATCCTCCAATAGTGGCGGCAACTCGAGTCAACAGAGTAGCCGCACGGGTGCTCCGACAAAGGATTCCCATTCCTCCCGGATGAGTCTGATTGTGAAATTGCGCTACGGCAAGATGAATCGCAGACGAGTCGATGGTCTGCTCAAATTTTCTGGTAAAAGGAAAGCCCACCGTGCAGATTCGCCGTCGGGTCAAGACACCGAGGCGGATGAGGCTCCCCTTGTCGATCGCAGGAAAGACCCTGTGTCCACTCGTGAAAAACCCCCACCGTCCGATCGAGTCAAACCCAAGATCAAGCTTGACGCTACTGAAACGACGCCCGGCCCCAGCGGTAGCAGTGCCCGCTTGAAGGAACCACGACCATCGGTTGAGAAATCTCACCTACCTACTCCCGATAAGGTCAAGACGACCTCGTTAACACCCGTCAAAGATCTCAAGGGCTATGGAAACCGTCGAAGCGACCTTTTGGACAGTGAAGGCAAAACACCCGTCAATCCAGCCACTAAACGTCTCTCCGTCGACCCTGTCTCCAAGGCATCACCCTCCCAACCAGATCGATCCCGGAATCACGAACGGCGAGATCAGGAGCGGAGGGCCTGGCAGGAAGATTTCAAGAATTTTACCAAAATGGGTCGAGACTTGAAACATGCTGCTGATCGACATAATAACGGACCCTCCGCCACCGACGAGAAACTGGCCGTCGTGACTGCTCTCGAAGCGACCATGTGCTTTGTCCTCGCCTTCGTGGCCGACGATCAAGCGAAAGCTCTTCTTCGACAAGGAGGGGACTCATCCGCCTGGCGTTCCATTATACCATATTGGCGCGCCGTCAAGAAAAACAGCGTCTCCTTTCCGGTCTTGCATAGTCTGTGCCAGCTCCTAGGTGCAGTCTCTTACGATACTATCCACGCATTGGACCTCGAACGTCTCGCCGTCACTCCGCTACCCGGAGAACATACACCGGTTCCCACGCCGGGCAGCGACGGCAACACCGTGTTAGCGGACGAGAATAAGAAGAGCCTCAAGGAATTCGCGGAGCTGAAAAGTCGCCTTTTGGAACACTACAAGGAGTCGCAGAAGTTGTGGCTAGATGGTTCCCGCGGTCTTTCTGAGGATGTCCTCAGTCGAGACTTCCCTACCACCTGGTCCCGACGCTCTCATGAATATACCGAGCGAGGCAAAGCATCTTTAAAGCCAGGTGATTACTCCGGTGAATATTTCCTTCCTCTCGGAGCGGCCACTCCACCCATCGAAGTAGTCCGCTTCGGCCGGTCTCTCCTAAAGGAATGGTGCACACAAGAAGGCGTGGAATGGCAAGGCCGCCTAACCCTTTGACCTTTTAAGCCTTTGGATTGTTTATTTTTGAAGCTTATCCAGCGAGATTCCCAATTGTCACTTTTTTTTAGCACCTGGTTTTCTTAATCCTCCGCTTTTCTCCCTTTCTCTCTTCCCGTTTTGAGGAGGCGAGCTCCCAAGTAATTCGGCGTCTCGGGGTGTGTGCATTTTGAGTGATTTTGTTTCTTTCCTTCCTCCCCATGATACCAATGAGCCCTGGATGTGTTTTCTTTTTCTTTTTCAGGTGTAGTTATTTGAGATGTTAAGATATATCACGGCCAATGCAGATCAACTTTATCAGTGGTTTGATTTGTTTAGTATTGGTATACTTCTAGGACCAAGGAATGGAGGAATGACCCGGTTATCCTAGTCACCTAAGCTGGGTCAGATATTTGGGTCATACTGGCAAATACCAGCATGGGATAGATATCATTCCATCTTGTTCGGGTTGAGAGAGGTATTTCTTTCTATATAAATAGTCATTTTATTGTGATAGACTACCATTTAGAACCCAAATTGCAATGTGATATCCGCTCAAGAGAAGAGAAGGAAGCGAAAACAATCATCAAAGAAAGTAATATCATGATCATAAGAAAAGCTTAGACTTCCCCGTACTCGCGCCGGAAATCCGAATTTGAATCTCCAAATAGCCACCCTGCTTCACGGCAATATCGAGCTTCTCGTCCATAAACGCCGACCTCGCTTGCCCAGCATATCACGGCGGCATCCACGATGTCTGCAATGACACTTTCCATGGCACCCAATATGCTCCAGCCAATCGTTGCTGCGATTAGGCCGACTACGTAGGCGTACATACTGCCTCGAATGGTACCGCTTGTGTTTAGACTTCGAGCTGTTGTGACCCAGCCTCCGAACCCGAGGGCGAGAGACATCATGAAGCGGGTAGCGTGGAGGATCAATTTGGAAAGTCGGTAGGAAAGGAGAGAAGAGGTTCCTCCTGGTGAGCGAGAATAGGCGCCGGGGTGGAGAGATGTTGAAGCGGCTGATGGTGCGAGGAGGGTCATTTGACTCAACCCTCGTGCCGAAGCTCCCAACGGCTGCGAGTGGATCGCGGCATACGTTAGAGAGAGCGGGTTCGTTAGATACACGATAGGGGTAGGAATAAGGGAGTATGCAAAGAGGCTGATGATTGAGGATAGTCGGCTGGGTAGAAGGAGGATAGGTAGGCGAATGAGCAGCCCAAGCAGACGTGATAGACTAATCGTGCCGAACAATGTAGTCGTAGCATGGACGATTGCTGCCTGGACAATCTGCCTCGAAGTGGGCGCCGGGCTTGCCAGACGATGGAAGTACCATTGGCTGACCGTGGCTGCGGTGACGGCACGCTGGATACCTGCAATCACTCCAATCGACCAAAGATAGATAAGCACAAAGTAGACACCGAGCCACCAGCTGCTTAAATCGATGATAAAAGATCTCGATCCTGATAGATGACCGCCGAGGAACACACGAGTAAACATGAGCATCCAGATCCAGGTCCACGAGACGACACAGGCAAGGATAACCAGGCCGAGAGCAAGTAGCTCCGGGTTTGCAGCCAAGATGCGACATGCAAACTCGAGCACGCCGATTGCCTTGCCGATTGCTCGACGCCCTCGGATGACGTTGTATATCCATAAGCTCGCCATCACGAAAGGAACGAAAGAGCCCCACCGCATCACTCTGTCTTGGAAGCTGGTCCCATTCCATGCACCCTTGAAGCTCGAGATGAAAGGGTACAAAGAGAATGAGTATAGAATGATGGGCACTGCAACGACGATCATGTACACCAAAATCCGCACATAAGATCGTAATAGGGCCAGCCAGATCAGGGAGACAAAAATCGATACGAGAGTATAGATGCCCAGTAGGAAATAAGACCCGTGGACAGTGAAGTAAATGGTGTCCCCCCATTGTGACTTGTCACCAGACGATGGGGTTGACGTGTGGAGGTAGACCAGGAAAGCAGTTGCAAATAACCCTGCAAGAGCGATTAGGAATAGTTGACCCCAAAAAGCATCATGCATGGTAGTCTCGGACGTAAGAGGCGAGATCGATGCGGGTAATGAACTCGTAGAGCTCGACCGTCGCGGTGCAGCCGAGGAGAATAATGGTTGAGTCTGCTCTGCAGGACTGCCGGATACGTTGAATCCGAACGAGTCATCTTTGACCGAGGGACGTTCTCGAAACCGTTGAATGGGCGGCTCGTCGCCTGCGAGCTCAGACGGCGTAAGATCGGCATCGTCAAGCCCACCTCGAAAGGAATCCTCCAACCCGACGTCGACTAGATTACCTCTAGTCTTACTACTGCTAGGGCTCGCATATGACTCGGGTGCTTGTTCCACCCCTTCCTCCACGGTCGCAATTCGAGATTGGCGAGGAGCAGGTATACTCTTCTCGCCTCGCCACGAGCTCTTGATTCCGTTCCCATTTCCAGGACGCTCATCATATCGAGATTGACCCTCTTCCAATTCCACGGAGGGATTCGAATCTTCATCGTTCTCTAAAGATTCTCTCAAGTTGCTATCGCCGAAATGCCGCCTTGACCGTTGCAAAGCGTAGAAGTCCGCAATCTCTCGCTCCCGCTCAGTCTCGTCATCTTCTTCCCGAAATTCGTCGGTCGCACTGTAAAATAAAGGGGCCGGTTGAGCCGATGCTCGGGACGCAAATGGGAAGTTGGAGATCTGAGAGGCACCCGGTCGATATGGGTCACCGCTTCTTAAGAAAGAGCGTGAAGAAGGGTGTCGTGTGCTGCCTTGGCGTTGACTTGGAGGAGCACGACCGGTTCTTTGAAGCTCGTCTGGTCGAGATGCGACTCGCGACTGTGACTGAGCGAGGAAGCGTGAGGCATCTGCAGGAGGGAACACTCCAGTAAGCTAGGCACCCAGACACATGGTGGATATACCGTATACATACATTCCGAGAACATGGCCCACTCTCGGGAGATCAGGCTGGGGTATGAAAGGAGTAATAGGAGAGATCTCAAGTTTCTCTCAGAAGATAGTAGAAGAAGTGATCCCCGGTCTTGAAACTACCCGATCTTGCAAGCCGGGCAGGACGAGGGAGAGATTAAAAGGTGAAGGTTGACCGGTCATTCAGGTGATGCAAGCGTCATCCGGGCAGGTCAGGCCCCGATAGCTGACTCAGCGGCGCGATAAGGGATCCCGCCGATAACAAGGCTACTCCTGACGCTGCGCGCACGACAGGTTACCGTATCCACGTTGGACACACTCTTCTCCATGTCACAGCCATGGGATTACATCGCTAAGCTTGTCTGCATCGGTGACTCGGGCACCGGCAAGTCCAGCGTGAGCTTAGTACATCGGATACCCCGGCCAAGACCGTGCTAACCAAGCTGTGTATATAGCTCACCATTCGCCTCTGCGAAGGTCGTTTCTCCCCTACTCACGATGTCACCATCGGCGTTGAGTTCGGATCGAGGATTGTCCCGGTTGGACCCCCTGCATCGCAGGAGCTAGGGCTAGATGAAATTCCACGCAGCGCCGCCCGCGAGAACCCTTCGGAGGACTCGACTACCTCCGGCGGCCTCCCCACGCCACCCCGGAAACCACAAGAGACCCCCAGCCAGAAACGAATGAAGCTTTCTCTTTGGGATACTGCTGGCCAAGAGACCTATAAGTCGATCACCCGCTCATACTTCCGAGGCGCTTCCGGTGCTCTCCTCGTCTTTGATATCTCCCGACGATCGACCTTCGTGTCATGTACGCAGTGGCTTCAAGATCTACGCCAGATTGCAGAGGAGGGTATTGTGGTCATCTTGGTTGGAAATAAGACAGATTTGGCCGGTCAGGAATCGGGCTCCAATCAAAGGCAGGTCACCCAGGAGGAGGCCGAGGAATGGTGCCGTTTGAATAACGTCGTTCGCTACGTTGAGACTAGTGCCAAGTCGGGAGATGGTGTCGAACGCGCATTTTTGGAAGTCGCTGAGCGCATCTACCGCAATATCGAAGCGGGTAGATACGATCTTAATGACCGGCGTAGCGGAGTCAAAGGATTCGGTGCTTCGGGGGGCGCTCATGCAGGGATTCCAAGAACGGTCACCTTGGGCATGGATGATGCGATGCGCAAAGGCAGTGGCTGGACCGGAAATTGCTGCTAGAACCAGATGGGACGGATTTTTAATGCAGGCTTAAACTGCCCCCCAGTGCGATTACTTTGCGCTGGAAAGCTTCAACTAATTGCAAGAGAATGTACATATGATATATGATCCAGTGAAAGAGATCAATTATACTATCTTTACAAAGGCATAATCCATCAAGATAAGCAACGTCCTCGCCATTGTGAATGATCCAATCCCTTTTGAGCCTCCCGGAGTCTCCCATATCAGAAAATGAAAAAATGACATCGAGTAGAATAGCAAAGGGTCCAACCACCTCTACCTCAGCCATAGAGAACAAAGAAAAGCATCCCGTACTTTTGTTTTTCGGGTCTGCAGTCGGTTCATATTCAGTCCCGTTAGTTCGCGATCTTCCATCCGGGCAGCCAGCGCAGATGGGCCCACTGTTGGTTGGAGCCCTCCATGCCGAACACGATGGCACGGAAGTGGATGAACAGCCCGATGATAACGGCATAGAGAACGGCATACACCACTGCGGAAACCGTGGCGTTGATTCTGCGAGTAACCCAATCCACGCAGAAACCGAAGGTGATGATAGCGTAGTAGAGAGCTGGGTAGTAGTGGTGGACGTAAGTCACACGAGCCATAATGATGAACGGAAGGTAGTGCAGAACCCAGCCAATGGCAGGGTAAATGCCGGAATAGTGGATATGGTCAATCTCCTGCTGGGTAAGCTCCTTGTATCCTCGTTGCCAGCGCAGAAGGTACCAGATGAACAGGAGACCGAAGCCAACAAGACCGCCAGTGCTTCCCCAGTAGACGAGAGGGTTGCCGAGAAGGTAATACTTGACAACGTTGTCATCCCAGGAGCACATGCGCAGACCGACGTTCAGGATCGGCCATTGCCAGAAGTGGGAGGCCAAGTCATCCTGCTTATCAGGGTCGGGAACCAGGGCATTGTTCGAGGTCATCATGGCAACATTCAAGTGGATGAAGTCCTTCAGGAAGGGCGACTTGTAGGAACCAGGGTCACCAGGGGGCACTGTGAATCATATTGTTAGTCGGAGTTCTACCTCATTTCGGGCATATAGTAGGGAGGTCTGGTTAGACTTACGGCGCTCGTTGGTGTGAGACTCGACATTCCAGTGAGTGTAGACATCGCCAGGCTTGTTCTCCTTGACACAAGTGGTTTCAATCTGCTTGAAACCCCACTGAGGCAGGTTGACATTACCAGCCCGGAGATAACAACCCATGGATGGGTGGCGCAGTCGGAATGCGGTGGTCAGAGTGCGGATCTTGGAACGATCACGGGATGCCGCATCGTTAACGACTTCGATCTTCCAGTGATCCTTGTCGTCGCCAATGGTGATGTTGCCGTAGCAAGAAACCTCGTAGTGGGATTTGGAAACCGGAGCAGCGATAGCGTGGGAATGCAGGTTACGACCGGTTTGTCCGTGAATGAGGCGGATGGTGTCTCCGTCGGCGATGAACTTGAGATCGCCCTCGGCCTCATATTCGGGCTCGTTGCGGCTGGGATAAATGAACCAGTCATTGTTGGCATCCTTGTGGTGGTAGCAGGTAACCTGTTGCTGGTTCGAGCCTTCGGGATAGGTCTGAACGTGAGAGTGCAGGAGACCACCGCCATAACCCATGTTCTTGATGGTGACTCGGGATCCGTGAGCAATCTCAAGAGGGCTATCTCTGCCCACCTCGGTACCACGGAGGTTCGCCTGGAAAAGAGAGCTCATCTGCGCATCACCGGGACCGCTGTTGGACAGGACGGTGAAATGCAGGTAGAACGAGAACATGTAAACCAGAAGAGGGATGACAATCAAGCCTCCCACGCGGGCAAAGAGATGCTTGGCAAGCAGAGTCTAAGAATATATCATTAGCCACATATTCCCAGCTGATCAATTATCGTCGATAGTATCCTCACCGGCGGCATCTTGACATCTCCGAACTTGTTCCAGAGATCCTCAGCAGTGTAGAGACCCACGACCGCAGTGGCGAAGAACCCAACCCACTTCACACTGCAGACGCAGCCAATGCTGAATCCAGTCAGGCAAAGCCAGAGCCACCACTCTGGCGAAAAGCTGGCACGCTGCAGGCGGTGGAATCGGGCCCAACACATCATCGTAGTGAAGGTGAAGCAGAGCAACATTGAATCCAGAAGAATGAAGCGGGAGATGGTCGCATAGGAGTTTTCGCACAGAACCATCAAGCTGATCAGCCAGACCGTAGCCCGACGGAAGTTCAGCTCGCGGGCGGTATAGTAAGCAAGAGGGACACACACGACGCCGAACATGGCATTGAAGGCTCGCATGAAGGTGTAGTCAACGTCCTCGGGGTACTTCTCGCCGGACTTGAACTCGAAGGATCCATTGTAGCCGGCAAGATAGCCCGAGAGACCAACGAGCATCTTTCCGAGAGGTGGGTGTACATCGAAGTAGAATTCGCGCTTGAGGTAGTGGGAGCCGAACTTTCCGAAGCTAGATACCGTATCAGCCATTGTTATTGGGGGAGTGCTATCGCACACAGAAAAGGTTGCTGTCCATACTGAGCTTCATCCCAGGTAACGATATTCGAACGACCGATGCGGTAGAGTCGTGTGAACAAAGCCAGAGCTGTCAGGAGGATCGGGGCAATGATCGGTTCCCAGCCAGCGAGAACATGTAGGAAAGAGGGGGACTATATGAGAACTGTGTGTTAGCGCAAGCCCAAGCTATCACGCTTCGATATATCTTTACCTGGCCCGGCTTGGTCTTTTTCACATTGTGCTCGACCGTAACGGTAGGTGTGGAGGCTTTCCCGGAGTCAGGGACATTTCGCCGGCGCAGATCGGCGTCGTGCTTGGCGCCCGTGCTGGTGGCAGTGTCCATGTTGGACGAGGAGCCAAATGGGCTAGAAAAGGAATTAAAAGGAAGGTATTGGTGGTTAGAATGAGGATGGGTCGGTTGGTAGACGGCGGTCGGAGGTCGGAGGTCGATAGGTCAGTAGATACCAGCGTGGTCGAATTCGTAACGAGAGTGAAAGGTAGCAACAAGGCTTTTAAAGAATCATAGCGACCGCAGAGGTCGCAAAGAGCCAACAGCTAGGTCGCTGGAAATGAGAATGGAAAAGACGAAAAGAAAAGTGAAGTGAGAAAGAGGAGGATGGGGCTGAAGAGAGAGAAGGCGAGCTGGCCAGAAGGATAAACAAGGTCCACTTCCGCTTTAGCCCCCTCCAAGCCCCGAGGAGGCCGTTTCCGGGAAAGGGCCACTGCAAACGAAGTTAGTAGTAAACTATTTATGAATTGGGATGGCCTGTCTTTGGGATGATGGGACATATAAGAATTATGATTACGATATTTTGATATTTCGATAAATCGATGATTATGCAGGGGGATTCAGAGGTATTCGTCGAACTTCATGTGTGTCATGATCGTCCCACTCATACTTGGCGAATAATCCTATGACAGCCAATGTCTCAAAGCAATTCAGTAGTATACCCTATGTTATTACAATAGAGCCCATGGATAGCACAGATATAGAGAGAGTATCGTCAATTTGCCTCATCAGTCAAGACGGGCGAGCAAAAAGGTGTATAAAACACAGCCATCAAAGGGTCCCGAGGATCCACAACCCATTCCCATGTGAACAGCTCAAATGCAACATCCCTTCGCAATCTCCCGTCTATACGAGAATAATGTACTTGAAAAAAAAGCAATGGATGCCCAATGATACACAACGCAAGAACAACATGCAACAGAGATTGAATAATCGAATATACAGGTATAATAAGGAGGGTGCATAGCCAGTCGAAAGGACTTCCGAAGCCGAGAAAATGAAAAAGAAAAGAAGAACACGAGAGGAGCCAAGATGGTATAATATATGAGAAAAAGGTGTTCCCGAAACAGAAAAGTAGCAACAAGAACAACCAAAGGAAAAAGAAAAAGTAAACGCCATGTCATTCAATCCACACCGGGATTTGCGATTCGCTCCTAATGTTCTTCCTCATCCTCGCCTTGTTCCAATCGTCTGTATCGGCCTGGGTTGGTGCCAGTACTTCCCCTCCGGTGACGGTTGACCATGTTGGAGATCCAGCCTCCAATTCCTTCGCCCCGATGGCTACCCGCTTGAGTATCAGCTCGTCCTGATTTGCCTAGGCCGTCAGTGCCGATCGTGGGCGGGTCGATATCCAGCCCGGGAATGGCACTTTCGGCTCCAAATTGGCCGTACGGTCGGCGAATGTCAAGGGACGGGACGGGTGAGCCTGCGCCCATCAACGATCCCCGCTCGCCGTCGGTGACTGGAGTGGGCATGGCTGTAGTCGCATCGCCGAACAAGATGTTCATATCTTCCAGGCGAACACCACTGGTCTCGGGATATAAGAAGTATACTGTAGGCCGTTTCGTGAGTATGAAAGAAAATAAGGAAGAAGAATATGGGGGAGCCCTTACCAACCACGAAACTGCACGCACAGAAAAAGGCGTGTAGTAGATACAATCGCCATCCAATAGCTCTCTGTAGAATGGGAGTCAATTCTCCCACGACCCAGTTGAACGCCCAATTACTGGCGGTGCTGAGACTGGCACCCTTGGCACGAATGCTCAAAGGCAGGATCTCCGGGGGATAGAGCCAGGGAATGGGACCCCAGGACGCTCCAAAGGCGGCATTATAAATCATCACAAAGATGACCGTCAAAGTCCGGGTCGCTGGAATCTCAATGTGGATAAAGTATGAAATCAGAGAGAGCGAGATGAGCATGGCAATCGCTCCGGAGAGCAAGATGGGCCGTCGGCCCCAGCCATCGACCAAATACCATGGAGGCACGGTTGAAAGCAGGTAAGTAATGCCGTTGATACCCGTCATCAGGATTGCGCTCCGACCTTCCCATCCGGCCGATTCGAAGACCAAAGGCGCATAGTATGAAATCACGTTAATACCGTTCAACTGGGCCAATGCTTGGGCTGACATGGCAATCAACACTCGCTTCCAGTAGCGTCTAAACATGTCGCTATAAGATCGCTCGCCTTCCTGTCGCTGTATGAGGACATTCATCTTGATTTCTCGGTATTCCTGACGCGCCTTGTCATTGTGAATATCACCCTCGCCGTAGAGGTTCGCGATGACGATCATGCCCTCTTCGTCGTGGTCATTATCAAGAAGCCATCTGAGTGTTAGAAAGAAAGGTGTTAGAGCCATGGTCACTTTCACCTCGAATAGACGGGAGGTTCTTCGATTCATCTTCTTACCGAGGAGATTCGCAAATAATTAAGCTTCCAACTCCAAGCAAGGCCCCCATGATACACTGGCACAACAAGGGCAGGCGCCATGAGATGTCCGATTCAATGAAGCTGCAGAAATAATCCACCCAGACGCTGGTAGCATATCCGGCAATATTTCCCGTGAATTCAATACAAGCCAACTTGCCGCGGTTATGGGGAGGCTATAGGGCAAATGGTCAGTACTGAGTTTCCAAGCATATCGTAGAATGTAGTCTTTTTTTCCGTACCGAGATCTCAGATTGATAAACGGGCACGATCGTTGACAAGGCACCGACACCGAGACCAGCCACAATACGACCCACCATCATCATGGGCATGCTGACCGCAAAGGTCTGTAGACCACCGCCGACGAAGAACACGGCCGAGCCATAGAGAATGGTCCGCCGACGACCGATTACGTCGCCGATGCGGCCAACTAGAAGGGATGAAATGAAAGCACCAATCTCAAGGATGGCCACCACGGTTCCGATGGTGGCCGGAGAGGGCTGATCGAAGTAGTCTCGGAAATACCCTCCACTGCTTCTGGGTTAGTGGACATGCTATTATCCATGGCCATCGTGTTCGGGAGGGAGGAGTACGGACGTGATAATTCCGGACATGACACCTTGGTCATAGCCAAAGAGGAAGACGCCTAGTGATACAAAGACACTCGTAAAGTACCTACGACAAGCAGAAGATGAATCTGTCAGCCAACCTGATCTGTGATCCTTTTCCCGCCGCGTGGTCTACCATTCTCTCTGCTCGAAGAGTTGAGGTTCTCGATTGACTTACAACAATGGCTTGCCCACCAGCCCATGTAGTTGGGCATTTTGCCCATTGCGGGGAGACATGATGCCGGCTAGGAACCGCTCGATTCTGGGGATACGTCGAGGAGGGGGATTAGGGATTCGGATATGATCCTTCTCAAGATCAATCGAAGGGTGGGGATAGTCGAGATCGGGTGGATAGTGGACTCGCTTGGGGGCTTGCTTCCTTCGACCTCGTCGAGCACGATGGTCCCGGTCGAGCGAATTGCGGAGGCGGATCTGAAGCGGGTCCTCAACCTCGGCGAGCTGTTCGGCAAGGTCACCGGTGTCTGACCAGATGGAGAAGTCTGACTCGCCCGAGCGAGTCGACGAGAAGGAGGACCGACGACTTCCCTTCTCGCTGGCGGATTCCAGGACGGTGAACCGGGCGTTGGAATCAGGGAGGTTGCGGAGGGGTATGGCGCGTGGGGAGGTTGACGAAGGAATGTTGGCGGTGGGCGGGCTGATATTCCAGCCCTTAGAACCCTTTTTGGCTTTTCCCTCTTTTTTTATTAATCTATTTTAGAGAAACTCTCCCGGTCCAGGAGATTTTTCCGTAAGGACTGGACCGTCCAGGGCAATGTACGGGTTCCAGCTGGAAGAGGAGCAAGACCAGCAGGACCAAGCAGGGGACCTGCCGCGACCCCCTTTCGGCGTGGAAAGTCTTACTAGCGACGCCACGCAGGCCGGAGCGGTCACGATAGGCAGTTCGTCGCTAGTCACACAGCGCGATCGACGCAGGATGACGGCAAGTCCACGATGGCGAGAGGAGAAAGAAAAAAAAGTGGGAACGAGTCGAGGTCAGGCGAGTGGTTGATGACAGATGCGATCGGGCAAATGGCTTAGGATGATCTCGGAATCACTCAAAACAGAACGATGCAGGGTCGTAGAGACTCCGTGGCAATGAGCTTCGATTTGGGGGGGGGGTGTGAAGGTAGAGAAATATTGAATTGGATAGAGAGAGAAGAAGATAGCTGGCTGCTCTAGAGATACTCGTTGACAGATCCAACTATTGTAATTGAGAGAGGGAGAATGGTTAGGGGGGGGAAGAAAAGCAAGAGCCGATAAGAGAGAGAGGCTGAGCCCGGATTCAGCCCAAACCATACCAACCAACTGTCCAAGTGTCCTCCAAGTTCCAACAGGGGGGCGGACGCCTAGAAAATACGGGGAATCAGTCTCGTTCCGTCGACGTCGAGGGCGTCAACTTGAGGGATCCACAGTGGAGTCTCCTCCACGCCAGCCAGAAATTGATGACGATATTAGACTTGGGTGTACCACTATTCCATGCTACGGAGTATATAAACTACCGTGTATAAGATATGCTCGTATTCTTGAAGATATCAGCCTTGTTAGTACAAATTCCAAGTCTATAAAGCTCAAGCCTATACTTCCAGTGTATTGTTACTAGTAGTAGTTGCAGAATACATATTCTAAGGTCGTTTTTTCTATGATGCATTCGTTGCCCCCGGTGGGGGCAAAAAGGAAAGCATTTACTAGTAGCGATCCTTGGCTACCCCGTAATATATACAAATTATAATAATATTATAAATACTACTACAGTGTCATTTTATTCATCAATGATATTTACCTAGAGAAGATCTAGTACGTCGCCATTCTCTTAGGAAATATGCCCTTCTATTCAATGGTTCTGCGCCCATGGTAACAATGTGGAGGCATATCTATATGGTTTCTTGGAACTACTGCACCAACAATTCATATGGTGATACAGAGACCGTCGAGGATCTAATTTAGATTATTATTGACTCTACAAACATGAAAATAATGCCCCTTGCTTAGCTACTCTCGCCGACGTTCATGGTGTCAACTCTCCCGCACTGGTGGCGCTTGAGCCGCGCCCGTGCTTAATGCATGACCTCTTGGAATGACTGATTCTGGAATTTCAGCCTCGATGGATGATCGAGAAAAAGGATAAAAAGAAATGGGTATCATCTGCTGCAGCCAAGTGGAGAAACCAAATCTATCTACGACGTAATATACAAAATGCAAGATGTGTAAGATGCACTGGAGCCAAGAAAAGTACTCCAATCGCTCAGAAATAAAACCACCACACGCCAGATCTCAACGGCCATGGGGGCCACTAGACAATCCGTGCAAGATTTTAGTTGAGGAGGATATCGTATCCATCCTTCTGGATGTGTACTGCGTCCGCCAGGCTCGCATATCGCCGACGCACCAACTCAAAGATCACGAGACCCGCGCTGGTGCTGGGCACTTGACGAAGTGCACTCCCCGCAAACCCGCGGAAGAGCCACGGCCTCCACCCCCCGGCTCGCGTGGCCTTGCGCCGGCACCGTTTCCAGGTCTCCTGGTACGCATGATAGTATAACCGCAGCATTTGCCGGCGCGTAGGGTCCAGACTCGCTTGGTGGTCGAGATACTCCAGCCGCCCGAGGTGCAAGTCCTGAATCCGGCTGAGTGGGTGCTGAATGGCTTGCTGTGCCACCGAGGCCACCACGCCCGCCATCATGAGGAAACATGGTTCCAAGGCGTAGTGTGGTTTAATGACTGGCACTCCGCGGTCGCTGGACCCCGGGGACGGGAGTTGATCAACCGTCTCGGCACGAAGCTCTCCATAGTACCACGTAATGAAGGAGTAGTACGACTGCGACTTGATGTATTCAAAGGCAGAGAAAAACACGGCATAGCCTAGCGAGTCTCGCAAGAAGGAGAGACTCCACCCTGCAAAGACTCCGCGAAGGCCTATTTGGTTCAGTTTATGATGTCCATAATGCCACATGCTTCGATACTGGCCGTCCAGCATGTCACTGGTTTGAAGTCGAACCTGCAGCGCATCTAAAGGAGCGGCGATGATTGATTGGATGGTTCCAGCAGCGAAACCAGCAGTGAAAGTGGCCGATGGAGGAGCGGGAGGCCAGACTCGTTTGACGCCCTGCGAAACAGGTTCATGTAGGGCTCCGAGGACTTGGAGATAGGAAGTGTAAAGAACGGCACCGACTCTATAAATAAGGAGAAAGGGTTCACCAGTCAGCAATATGATCTTCCTAGACAAGAGAAGCTCTCTTCAAGGCTCACCCCGCATTCGCCATCAAAGGCGGCAAGACTTGATTCGGAATAAACCGCCAACCATAAGTCCTAACAGCATGAAGCAAGAGACCGGGTGTTGTAGTATGAATAGACCATTTGCCTTCTGCCACACGAGGGTTCACAGCTCTTGCAAATGCCTGTTTTATTCGAACGATCGGATAGCATGAATTAGCGAATCGAAAATCGGTATTGGAAGGGAAGGATGAGGATATCTATATATACCATATAACTAATCTCATGTTAGCAAGGCACAGTATACAGTCGACTAGGAGATCACATACTCAACGCGAGTGCGAAAAAAAGCTTTAATCGGGGCCCGGAAGTAGAAAGCTACCATTTGCGCACTAAGGGCGCGGACACCCGCGGCGGAAGCTCCAGTAGCAGCATCATTGCGAGGTTTCCGTCGAGAAGCCCCCGGGTTGCCAATATTGGGCTCCAAAAAGATAGGATTCATTGCAAATTCAGATACTTTGAGTATATCACTCCCAGCACACCATCTGGAGCAGCTCTCGTTCGGGTTGTTTTGCACTCGGAGGGGTTGCCGAATCTCGGGATGGTATCACAAACGGAGACCGTCAAAGCAAATGACTAAAGCAGATCCCCAAATAGAACATAGTGACGACCACGTCAGGATGAGGGATAGTTGCGACTAAGCCTCCAGCGGAGGTGGAAAAGGAACCGTGAAGAAGAGACAGATTTGCAGCCGCCAGACCGCAAGGAACCCAAAGAAGAGCAGACCCCAAACTTCCGCAGGACCCACGCTAAGCCCAAAGAGGCAAAACTGGGCACGGGAAGCCGCAGCGAACTCAAAACGCGCTTTTCGCGTCCTCTCCCTCCTCTTCCTCCCCCAACGGTGTTCTTTGACATCACCACATCGATTTCCCTTCCAACATCATCCTCCTCTTCTTAATCAAGCTTCATTTCGCTTTCGCCTTGATTTCTCTGGCGCATGCGACCTTGATTCTGCGCTCAACCCCGAACTCTTCTTTCGCGCCCGGTCTCTCACTGTCGCCAGCAAGCTTTGCTTGCACCAGGCTATCAAGATGGCCGAGAAGATCGCGATTGACAAGAACACCTTCTTCAACCATCTCTCAAACTTCTATGCATCATGGAAGGCCGACAAGCGCTCGGGAAATACTCTCTTTGGTGGCGCCGGATCGATCGTGATCCTCATGGGCAAGACCAAGAGCGATGAGAGCTCCTTCCAGAAAAACAATGCTATGCACGTATGTCATCTGCGTTTCATCTAGCTTCTATGGCCATATCCATTCCGAGACGCAACACTTTCACCTACAGGATGCTGACTAGTTGATATCTTATAGTTCTGGCTTCTTGGCTACGAGTTTCCTGCTACCCTCTTCGTCCTAACAACCGAGGCGATCTATGTGGTCACAACGGCCAAGAAAGGTACTACCAAACCGATCTCGTCACACTCAATGGCACCAGGCTAATATTTTGATAATATAGCTGAGCTCCTCGAGCCACTGAAGGGCGGAAAGATCCCAGTCGAGCTTCTCGTGACCACAAAGGACCCAGAATCGAAGACAAAGGCATTCGAAAAGTGTCTTGAAGTGATCAAGGGCGCCGGAGTAAGTACAACCTGTTTCCAAATTGGAAGTTTGCCAGCGATGATTAACCATGTTACGTGAATAAAGAAGAAAGTCGGCACTCTACCCAAAGACACAACGACGGGTCCCTTCGCCGACGATTGGAAGCGCGCATTCTCGGAGGTATCCAAGGAAGTGGAGGAAGTCGACATCACACCGGCGCTTTCTAGCGCCTTTGCGATCAAGGATCCGGAAGAGCTGGTACGTTTCGCTCCTTCATCTTAGTCCTGTTAAGGTGAGCTTGCTAACAGATTGTTCAGGTTTCTATTCGCAACGCGTCCAGAGCATGCAGTGGCTTGATGTCGTCGTACTTCGTGGACGAGATGTCACGTCTTCTCGACGAAGAAAAGCAAATTACTCACAAGGCTCTCGCAGCCAAGGTGGACGCCAAAATCGACGATTCCAAATTCTTCAACAAGCTGGCACGCCTCCCATCAGAGTTTGATGCCGATCAGATCGATTGGGCTTACGGACCGGTGGTGCAGAGTGGAGGAGCCTATGATCTGAAATTGACGGCAACTTCCGACGGCAATAACCTGAAGCCGGGCATCATCCTGTCTAGCTTTGGAATCCGTTACAAAACCTACAATTCGCTCATCGGCCGTACCTACCTGGTGGATCCGAGCAAGTCTCAGGAAGCTAACTATGCGTTCCTGCTCAACCTTCACGATGCGGTGATGAAGGAGATTCGCGATGGTGTGGTGGCTAAGGACCTCTACAACAAAGCACTCGGTCTCGTCCGCTCGAAGAAGCCCGAGCTTGAGAACCACCTAACCAAGAACATCGGTGCCGGTATCGGTATCGAACTCCGCGATGCGAACATGATCCTTAATGCCAAGAACAACAGAGTTTTGAAGAATGGCATGACTCTGGCAATCACCATTGGCCTGACAGATGTTAAGGATACTGACTCCAAGTCGAAGGGAAATGATGTTTATTCCATGGTGATCACAGACACCGTTCGTGTTGGAGAAACTGGGCCTCACATTTTCACCAAAGATGCCGGGATCGACATGGATTCCATCTCTTTCTATTTTGGAGATGAGGAAGAGCCTGAAAAGCCCGTGAAAGAGAAGAAAGAATCAAAGTCAAGTGCCATTGCAAGCCGAAATGTCACGAGGACTAAACTGCGTGCCGAGCGGCCAACCCAGATCAACGAGGGTGCCGAAGCCCGCCGTCGTGAGCACCAGAAAGAGCTTGCTGGTAAGAAGACAAAGGAAGGTCTGGACAGGTTTACAGGCACTACTGGAGACGACAACGGCGTCGCCCAAAAGAAGTTCAAGCGGTTCGAGTCCTACAAGCGCGATAACCAGCTTCCACCCAAGGTCAAAGACTTGACCGTCTACGTCGATCACAAGGCCTCGACTGTCATTGTTCCCATCATGGGTCGGCCAGTCCCCTTCCACATCAACACCATTAAGAACGCAAGCAAGAGTGACGAGGGCGAGTATGCGTATCTGCGCATCAACTTCCTCTCTCCTGGCCAGGGAGTGGGCCGAAAGGACGATCAGCCATTCGAAGATCCGTCGGCTCACTTTGTCCGCAACTTGACCCTGCGTTCCAAGAACAATGATAGAATGGCCCAAGTGGCACAGGATATCACTGAGCTTCGCAAGACTGCCCTGAGACGGGAGCAAGAAAAGAAGGAATTGGAGGATGTCGTCGAGCAGGACAAGCTTGTTGAAATCAGAAGTATGTCACAGTTCCCCCAGTGTGAAGAGGCCTATCTTCGGCTTGGATGCTAACAGAAATTTTTAGACCGCCGCCCGGTGAAGTTGCCCGACGTGTACCTCCGGCCTCCTTTGGATGGAAAGCGTGTGCCTGGTGAAGTAGAGATTCACCAGAATGGTCTCCGCTACCTGTCGCCTTTCCGCAGTGAGCATGTCGACGTGCTTTTCAGCAATGTCAAGCACCTGTTCTTCCAACCCTGCGCACACGAGTTGATCGTTCTCATTCATGTGCACCTCAAGACACCGATCATGATCGGAAAGAGAAAGACTCGGGATGTCCAGTTCTACCGTGAGGCCACCGAAATGCAGTTCGATGAGACTGGCAACCGCCGACGGAAGCACCGTTATGGTGACGAGGAGGAGTTCGAGGCTGAGCAGGAAGAACGCCGACGCCGGGCTGCGCTCGACCGTGAGTTCAAGGCTTTTGCCGAAAAGATTGCAGATGCTGGAAAGGACGAAGGTGTAGATGTCGATATCCCTTTCCGAGAGATTGGATTCACCGGTGTTCCCAACCGTTCCAATGTCTTGATCCAGCCCACTACCGATGCTCTTGTGCAACTTACTGAGCCGCCATTCATGGTCATCACGCTCAATGAGATTGAGATCGCACACTTGGAGCGAGTGCAGGTACGATGAAATTCCCCTCTTGGTATACATCTCTGCAGTCCACAGTTTTCTAACCCATCTATAGTTTGGTCTCAAAAACTTCGATCTCGTCTTTGTGTTCAAGGACTTCCATCGGGCTCCTGTCCATGTCAATACCATCCCCGTCGAGGCGCTGGAGGGCGTTAAGGATTGGCTTGACTCCGTCGACATTGCCTACACTGAGGGACCCCTGAACCTGAACTGGACCACCATCATGAAGACGGTCGTGAGTGATCCGTACGGCTTCTTTGCCGACGGTGGTTGGTCTTTCCTGGCTGCGGAGTCGGACTCGGAGGGCTCTGATGAGGAGGAAGAGTCGGCGTTTGAGCTTTCCGATTCGGAGCTGGCTGCTGATGAGAGCTCCGAGGAGGACAGCGAGTACGACGAAGATGCTAGCGCTGATGGGAGCGAGGAAGACTTCAGCGGCGACGAGGAGAGTGGTGAGGACTGGGACGAGCTAGAGAAGAAAGCAAAGCGTCAGGACAAGGAGGCTCGAATGGACGAGGATGACCGTGGTACCAAGCGCAAGCGCTAAATTGATTACTCGGTGGATGATGATAGGTGGTTTTTCATTTCCAAAATCCATTTCAATGTGCTTTCTTTCTTCAGGCCGAATATGAGCCTCTGTCTTTATTAGGTTTCTTTTAAACAACATTCGGAGAATGAGAACCAATTGCAAGGAGTGCAGTTGCCATTTACAAAATCAAGCCCGGGTTTGCAGTTCTATCTAAGGAAATAAGATAATCTTTCATCCTTAAACCTTCCATCTATCGACTCATGGCTGAATTGTATGATTTTCCAATGTATTACTCTAGTTGCTAGGGGTGGAGTATTGCCTCTATTCGACTCGATTATGATATGATATACCGAGTGTCATGTGTGATTAGGAAACAATTCTCTAGCGTAAGGTTTATATAGATTACCATCAGAGCCAAACGACAGACAAATTCAATTAACTATTTCCCTGCACGCATTGTTGCCCACATGTTTCGCATACGGTCGTTCTGGCCAGCCGTAAAACTCTCATAGCAGACATCTGACGAGTAGTCCATAAAATCATGGATGGGGTCCAGCCCCGGCGAATCCGGACACGAGTCCTTTCGAGCAGGACATCCACCCGTTGGGGTGGACTGTAGGGGTGTGTCGGCGATGTAATCCCCCGGGTTATCCTCGGAGCAGGACTCTCCTTGGAAGGTATGCAAGAGGCCATTCCAGTGTCCGATTTCGTGAATCGCTGTCCCTCCTCGGTTATACTGGTCCAGTGAGCCTCCGGACATCGCGCTGGCGAGGATGTTGCAGCCATCTTTGACGTAGTCGGCACGGGGACTGCTGGCGTTCACGCTTGGATCCGGGAGGGTGCAGAAGCCCAGCACGCTGGTGGAGAGATCGCTCGAATGAGCGGCACCACGGTGATTCACGCGTCCGGTTTGGTCGGCGGAGGCTTGGAGGTCGGTTTGGAAGTAAACGTTCAAAGTCCTGTATGTTCCTTTTCGGAGGGTTTTCTTCATGCCCAGGTCATCTCCATTGCGAGCCCAAACATCATTCACATGGCGGGTGACACCTTGCAGTCGGTATTGAATACCTGCGTCCTGATACGCATCCTGTAGAATAGAGAGCTACACTCATAGTTCAGCATTTGTCTCTGACTTGCAATAATTTATCGGCACGTGAGCAAAGGAAGGGGAACAAACCTGAGAATCGATCATGTCGTCCGAAACCTGGTCTTGCTTTGCTTTGCTAGCGATGATATGGAACCAAGTTTCAATCTCGATAGGGCCATTGCGACTCTCTGACCCGGCGTCTTTTGGCTGAGACTCATTGATTCTGACACGCTCGAGGGCGTGCAAGAACGAAGTGTCCGGGTCTTCGGTGGCACAGATGCCGCGCTGTTCAACTACCACTGGGCTGCAATGCGCTTGCAGAAAAAAGAGGGTTGTGACAAGAACCACGAACGGAGCTAAAGAGTGACAGACCATGATGATGTTGGTGTTGGTGTTGGATGCCCCGATGTCGCGATTCCTCCGTCACAAACCCATAGGAAATTATTCAGGTTTCCCTCTCCGCGAGATCAACCCCTATATGACTAGACTACCCGGAACAGCCATAGGCTCAGTCCGATGCTCTGAGTCCGGAGAATGCTGCATCATCAACGGAATGCATATCCCATGCAAGGGGTCCGAGTGCCGCACCGGAGGGATCGACAGCTTTAAACCAGGCGGAGCGGAGAAAACGTGCAGTTCATTGGCATCCACCAAGGCTGGCCAATTCCTCGGCCGGAGAGATGAGGTCATCGAAGGGTGAGGAAAGTAGAAAGAATGCTCGTTGTTGTGATAGTGGTAGATACATAGAAACTCCTTGTTGAACACCCGGCCCAGGACAATCCATTTATTCACAATATAGGTAGCGACCCATGGAGTATTGAAACTAGAAAGAAAGAAGAAAAAAAAGGGGAAAGTAGTATAGAAAAGAAACTGGCATCATTGAAACCGCCCAAGGGAAGAAACGGAAAAACAAAGAAATTTGTATGGAAGGAATGCGGCCTCAAGGTGCACTGGGGCGGATTCGGTCATCCCGCCCCGAGGCCACGGCAGTGGTTGGTTGGTTGGTCGCATCCCAGGTCAGATAGGTGTGATCACCCAGTTTTCTAGAAAATGATTAGCAGTTGCCGATAGTTGGGGATTATCGGCACTGAAGGCCATAACACATACCTGGGTCGAATCAAGTAGGCCACGGTGAACAAGGCTCCCAAGAGTACGCAAACACCGCCAACAACCACGTAAGCAATTCCCATGAAGGGGTTCTTACCGCCGATGACTGTGCGAGTGGAGAGCAAGATCGACTTGGTTCCATCGTACTCGGTAACGGGGAATTCTAGTCTATGGTTAGCGACGTTTCATAGTTTGGGAAGTTGAATAATTTCACGTACGGTCGACAATATCCAGACGATAGTCTCCTGGCTGCATGGCGTCGTCATCGTTGCGGCGGGAAAGTTTGCTAAAGGATGGCAATCCCGCTGTCCGCATCCAGACCATGAAATCTTCATTTTCGTGAAGATTAGGAATACCGGTCTTCTCGTAGGAACCGTTGTAATCCTTCCAGTTTGGTGGGGGGACCACTTCCCATGGCTTATACTGGGTCTGCTTAATCAGAGATTTGTCACTGTTCCAGGCAATTCCGGTCTTCGTCATGGTGTAATTGGTCGATTTGTCCGCAGTCAGCACCGGATTGCCGATCGAGTCATTAAACATGGAGTTGGCGATCAGGCCACAGGGGTAGTACGCCTTTCCGGTAACACTGTCCGTTGTCAAGGGATCGCACGTGCTGCCCGAAATCGTGCTATTCGGAACCGCAGTGCCCTTCAATTGATCCAAGTCCAACGACTGGACGTAGCGACGGTGGTTCTGGTAGAAGTTGGTGAGACGGTAGTACATGAAAACCGGAGGGCCCATAGACTCGGGGATGTTGAAATAGAGAGAGCACACGGTGGTGTTGTCGGTGCCATTGGACCGTTGCCAATAGTATTTGCTGTCCGCAGTCGAAGCTTTGAACGTTGCGGATACGCGGTCTGAGATGTCTGCTCTGGTATTCTCCGGCGCGCTAGTTTTGCAGTCTGTGTAGTCGATGACAAGCTCTTGGACCTAGACGAACAAAACGGTGTCAGATGCGTGATGAGAGCGATTCGCACGGCGAAGCTGTAACGTACCTGGGAGCTCGCCCAGATAAGGACACCACCGATGGGCGCGAAAAGGACGCCGACGATGAAGAACAAAGGTAGCACACTTTTGGGGGTCAAGATCGGTCTAAGCGGAAGGCATCGGTCAGTCCCAGTTGGCAGGCGGATGATCCGGAATCAAAGAATAAGCTCACTGCCAGGCTTTCAATCGCTGTTGTCGAAAAGCGGTATCTAATAACATGTCAAGTCAGTCGGGAATCACGAAAGGGACAACGGATTTCGAGACTCGGAGCGAAAGGGGACGCGTACTGGCGGGTCTTCGGGACTTGGACTTCTTGTCGCCATCGGCGGCGTGAGCGCGCTCCTGCTCGTCGATGGACTCGGCACGGGGACCGTCTGCCTGCGACATGGCGACGGGTATCGCGCGGGAGTTGAACTAAAGGGAGGGAGCGATGGAGCGATGGAGTGAATGGAAGTGGTGCAGTTGACGGAGGGACAAGAGAGGGAGACGTCAGAAAAAGGTGGCGCCGGGGCGGAGCCAGATCACTAAATTGACTGGAAGTGCAAATAGGGCGCCCCACACTCTCACGGCGAACCACATCATTACGGTCTGGCCAACTTTACCAGATTGACTGCAGGGACCAAGAGATATTTATAGTACCCGGATCTTCCAAGTCTATTATAACCTTCGAGATGACATGGAAATGATTCAAGTTGGCTATTTTACTTGCACCATCTACCCAATTAGGAAGAAGGATCTTCAGGTAGAACTACACTTCCAACTACGAAGACAAAGATACGACTACGTCAAAAACACACCAAACTCATTTGCAATGGGTTATGTCATTCAAAAAAGAATCGTATCTGGTCAGGGTATCATATCATCCCTCATGCTCTCATCTTGAAGAAGCGATGGGGCGGGATGGAAAACAAGAACGCAATGACGGTAAAGAAGCAAAAGTCACAAAATAGCAATGATGGAATCCCCAAAAAAACAAAAACACCACAAGTTGACCGAGGCCTGCCATTCTAGACGGAGGGAAGAGGAACCTGAACGCCAAAAAGAAAACACACAATAGCCCGGACTGAAGCGGAACGAGCATGTAAAACAATGCATGCATACCGAGAGCGGCACATGAATGCGAGAGAAAAGACACGAAAGGTACGCAACAAGGGGAAGAAAAAAAATGACTCTGTACTGAGAGGATATCTGTAAAGGAATGTGTCGTCATGCATAGCGGACATGAAATAAAGAACAGCCATCATTAGAGAGACCGAAATAAAGCAAGGCCATGATGGCATAGACACCAGGATTTCTGGATGTCTAAGAACGGGCGGTAGTCTCGAAGCAGATAGCAAGACAGAAAGTCGTTCGAGGATTAATGTTCATGAGAATCGAGCCGGTGAGGCATAAGACGATCAGTTACCCAAGAATGTAATCATGTCTCTAGTGGTTCAAGGACACGTAGAACCACATAATGCGGACAAAAGTTGATCATGCTTGTACACGTCAGTTTCGCAAGTGTCCTGGTGTGAGCGAGAGAGAGAACCCCGAACCCTATGGGGGAGATGGAGAGAAGAGAGATTTCCTGTGTCTGCAAATGGGAGAGGGTCCACGATCCAAGGTCAGTGGGCAGATGGATCCCCATTCCCATTCAGGAAGTAGGGAGTGAGATTTTGTTTTATCTCAGGTGATGAAAATAGTCTGGCTTAAACCATCCCACGCGGTCGTAGGCGGTCCAGAGTTTGCTAGCTTTGTTGACGTCAATCTTGCAGGCCTGCTGCGCATCGGTCTTGCGGAACTCTTTGCCCACACGGAGAGCACGCACGCGAGCTTCAAAGATTCGCCGCTTGCTGCACAGGTAGGTTGCACAAGACAGCCGGAGTGTCGAGGCCAGATTGAGCTCGGCAGGACTGAGCAGATGTCGGTCCGGGTCATTGCTCAAATCCAACATTTGCCCCTTCCAGTCTGCCTTGAGTGCCTTTGCGTTCCCACCCAACGTCTCCAGGGGTGGGGAGTAGTCTGGAAGGGCTTGGAAATCGGTATCATCCCGATTCGTGCCAAGGGCACGAGGCTTGGATGCCGAGGTGGGAGAGGTATCAAAGGAATCCAGGGTCTGCTGTTTCGGGGTAGATTTGGGGGTACGCTTAACGCGAGTCCGAGGAACGCGCGGGGTCCCTCCTGCTACTTTCTTCATGGGGGCTGGGGCAATCTTCTTCAGTTTGGCCTCCAGTTCCCCCGGTGGACGGTAGCGGTTCATCAGGACTAGTTGGCGCTCCAGCGTTTCCCGTTCTTCACGGGCCCACGCTGCCGGGTTGCGGTTATATTGCGTCGAGACAATGGGCACACAGGACAAGGCCAGAAGATATTCATCACGAGTGGGTTTGTTCCGCTTGTTATCAAACCTGGCCATATGCGAATTGATATGTTGCTCCACTAGGGCCTCCGCGGCAGGAGGGGGGATAGGCCCGAAGAGAGGCTCCTCTCGCGCCACGGAATCGTGGCGAGGGAAGAGCACGGGGTCTCGCGATGCATTCGCCTCGACATCACGTTCAATCTGGTCGGCCGTGTGCGATCGTCGCTTCTTGGCACCCGTATACGGAGTCACTGGAGGCGAGGGCAAATCCATCTCGGACTGTGTTCGCTTGCGATCAGCTGAAATTGGGGGAAGCTTCATCAGGTCCCCCATGGAGGAGGTGTCGGGTTTAGCAAATGGGGAAGGGGGTGGAAGCTCTCCAGGGGCTTCGATTCGGGGGGAGACATGAGGCTAGAAACTGGAAGGCGATTCATGATGGAGTAAGAAGAGGGGTGCTGGCCCGACTGCTGTGATGGTTGCAATTGCAGTGGCGGCTTTACACCGGAGGATGCGAACATTCCAGATTGGAATTTCTGCTGAGAGAAGAGAGAACGGTTGGACAAGGGAAACGGAACGATTTATTTAGCTTCTTGTCTGATCTTGATGTTGCTGGAGGAGAAGAGGGGGTGGGGGATTGTTTGCGTTGCAATTGTCCAGAATGGAAGAGAATCCAGAAATGCAACTGAATTGATCACGGGGGTGGAAGTGGCGAGATTGGGGGAGGAAGGGGAAATCAGGGTAAAGAAAGGCGAGAGAGAGAGAGAGAAGGGAGGAAGAGGAACAGAAGGCGAAAGCACTGTTGAAATAATGTCTTGGTCTTTGAAGTACCCGAATATGACGAGGGTGGAAGTCAATGGAAGTGCATGTCCAACACCCAGGTGATTTGTCAGGCAGCAGTGGCGATAACCGGGGTTAAGTGATACCAATGGCCGATAATGAGTCAAACGTCAAAAGGGCCCAGGCAGTAATCAGGGGGGGCGAAAGAGATCAGAGGCAACTCTGGGTTAGGGAAGGGGGGAAGGCTACTGTTTTAAGGGAAAACTGGGTTAAAAGAAGAAGGAAAGGAGGAAAAGGGCGAGAAACGGGCAGTTTGATAAAAAGTGGGAAGTGGGCGGGTTTTCGTATGTAAGATTGGTAAGATGGTAAGATCGTAGTTATTGTGAATCAATTTGGTTTAAAATGAGTCAGATGAGAGGGTAATCTTACGTATTCACGTACTGTAATTTACCAGAGGCGCCTCATTCTCTCAGCCCATGGACCGCCCGACGGGAACCTGGTTAGGCAGACAAGAGAAACTGGATACTCTCCTGCTGAGCCAATCATCATACTTTCCCCATTTTAAGACGATTATTCAACCCGACGAGGCAGAAGCAGGATTCGGATCACTGAATTCCCCCGAATTCGTAAGCGGGCAACGATACTATACTATATCCAGGTGATTTATGGTTCGTCGCCGAGAACTAATACTACTACAGTAATAGGCCTATTCAGTACTAAGGCAGCCTAAAGTGACTTACTTCCATTTATAGTAGAGCGGCTACAATCGTATTCGACAATTCAAAGCAGGGCGGACGCAGTACAGGAAGTATAGTTATGGAACTCGGAAATCGTCGGTATGACTCAATGGCAGAAGGTCAGTGAGTCAATCGGGGTCATTCGACCAGGAAGGGGCTAGCCAATCAGGATTTCCAATGCCACGAGACCGAACCAATTCGCCAATCAGCTCCCAAGGCAATCATGAAACTCCTTTGCTAGAGGGAAAGGAGGGGGGCTGTGAAGGGTGACCAACTGCGGGGGAGGCAGTCATCTGCTGGGCTACTGCGGCTGACGGTATTCCCCTCGTATGTCATGGTATTTCATGTCAGATTTTACATGCAATGAACCATGTCCCCTTGATAAGGTGAATTAGGTTTGCAGCGATCATTTCTACAAGATAATCATGATATATCCTATATATACTTTCTCGTAGGCTACGAAATATTCAGAATATCCATAGCTACGTTTTATAACGTAGGTATAGATTCTAAGATTTATTCCAATTAGTCGGTGGTATAGCACGCCCCCTCCATACCACCCACCATTACTTCGGTACTATGTACTCTGGACCGCCAGGCTCGTGATCACCAATACCCAAAACCCAACCCTCCTTCTCTCGACGGAGTACCCAACTCCGAATTCTTCCATTCCTCTAGCCCCCATCTCCTCGCCTTACCCACCAAACCCCTCCATCAGAATGAATTCACCCTTTCAATGCCTCTTATCTGCCTTTTTGTTACCCCTCCCTCAACCTGCCCTCGAGCCTCTTCAGCCCTCAGGTGACGAAAGACGACACGGATCGGCCAAAAGGGCCCCAGCCACGGCAACCTAGTGGCGCCCATTGGGTCCTTCCAGGGGAGAGGGCGCATGACAACATCTCATGCGGGCAATCACCTAACGGGAGTCCTAGGCTTTCAGCAGACTCGAATAATCAATGCCAAAATCCCAACGAATCACGGCAACGAGGTGTCCGATTGCAACTCCACCAATAAACCCCACTTCCCCCCAGGTGGACGTGCCTAATGATCCACCCGAGTAGCGTGATCTCGTCGATCCTCCATGATTAACTGTATTATTCTTTCAAATGGGCGTACTGACTACTATATGGATCACAGGTACGATATCACAGATCAGGGTATTTTGATGACAAGACCAAGGTCACATCTCATGATCGAGCAGTCTCGGATCATCCATCATTGTCAAGTAATTTTATTTTACTCATTATTCCTGGGTATGACGATGCTGACCTAAGCGCCTAATCAATCACACGCCAATCGCCTCAGATCGCCCTCGTACTCTTATCTCGGCCAGTTTGGAGAGATTCACGACTACCGACCGAGGTCAATCCGCCCAGGAGTTTGTCCCATAGTTCTTGTAGCTTCAATTATCGACGCCCCAGGCCGCCCGAGCGTTCTAGACGAGCTCCTCCGGACTCTTTCGCACCCGTGTCTGATCGCTGGATATTGCGAGTTCTCCAATACCACGCTATCTCCTATCGACAACGGGTAATGTAGAC